AAAAATGCTATCAGTACTTGAACAGACATTAAGATGTATGTGTAGATGACTATGTTACAGATAAGTACTTAAACATAATATGGAAATACAGAAACTCAGGTTATCTATTGGAGCCTCCTTTGTTTCAGAATTTTTTTTTTTTATTGTGAAAATACCGTGCAGAGGAGTTACAATTACATGGGCAAGATAATGAGTACATTTCTTATCAAGCATTGTTGCCTCCTCCTGTTTTCCATTCCTGTTCCTTCCCATCTCCACGCCAGCCGCCCCCCCCGCCCCACAAAGTTGTAAAGTTTTTCGACATGTTTCAGAATTTTTTTGCAATCTTCTGTATACAAATCTTTTGCCTCCTGTTAATTTTTTAAGTATTTATTTCATTGAAGCTATGTCAAATGGAGTTACTTTTTGAGATTTGTTGTTAGTTTACAGAAAGTGATTTTTGAATACTGCAAACTTTAGCAAGACTTTTTGCATGAAATGTTGAGATATATAAGGTCTCATCATCTGTAGAGGTTATTGTATTTCTTTCCTTTTGACTTGGACAGCTTCTTTCTTGTACCTATTTTAGGTAGGGTTTTCCAAATGATGTTGAATATATTGAACATAGCGGTGAGATTGGGCCTCTTTCCCTTGTTCTTGATCGTAGAAGAAAATATTTCACTTTACTGTAGTTATGAGGTTAGCCTTAGACTCTTCACATATAACCTTTATTATGTTGAAATAACTTTTTTCTCTTCTAAGTTTGTTGCATGCTTTTGTAGGAAATCATAAATGGGTGTTTTAATATTACTTAATGTTTGGTTTTTGCATCTACTGAAATAATTGTTGTGTGGTATATTACATCAATTGCCTGTGTGGAAGCATTCTAATATTCCCAAAATAAAATCTACTTGGTAACGTTATTCAACTGTTTCTTTAACAATACTGAGAATCATACACAGGAACTTGCATACATTAGTTAATATTCAACCACTGAGCTACATCCTAGCTCATTTAATCCTTTTGAACATGATGTTGAATTATACTTTATAGTTTAAAAATCTATTTTGTTGAGTATTTTAATATCTATGTTTATAAAGACTACTTTTCTATAGTTGTGGGGGGGGGGTGTTACTGGATATAGAACAAGTTTTCTTATATTGCCTTTGTATGGTTTTAGTATCAAAGTAATGATTGCCTCATAAAACCAACCTAGAAATGTCCTTTCTTTTTTAATGTTTCTGAAGCATTTGGGAAGTATTTAAGTCTTACTAAATGTTTAGTTGAATTCTCTAAAGAAGCCATCTAGTTGTGGATTTTTCTTGTTGGAAAAAGTCATTATTCACTCTATTTACATATTACTGGTCTGATTTTGTTTCTTCATGAATTATCTTGGTAGGTTCAGTTTTTAGGATTATCCATTATTTTCACTATCATTTTTAGTCTCTTATTCCTGTGACATCAGTTCTACCTCTTTTGACATTTTTGGTTTTACTTATGCTTTCCTTTATTTATGTTTAAGTCTGAAGGAGGGAAAGTCTGGCCCATGGGCCATATAAGGTCTGTGGAATTATTTGGTTGACATGTATTCTTGTTCATTTCTTGGTTGCCCACACCCAGCTTCATGCTTTAACAAATTTTTATGGTCTGCCATTGTTATAAATACCTAAATGCCCTTTGCCAAAATAAGAACCTTTCCCTACCTCTGAAAGGTCTGTTAATTTTATTGATATTTTTTAACTTTTTTTTTCAGTTTTCTTTTTTCTCTATTTTACTGCAGAGAATCTTACATACCTTTACCTGCTTACTGCTCTTTTTTATCTAATTCGTGAGGCATAAAGGTTTTCTTTTCTGCATCTTAAAATTTTTCATATGCTGTATGGTTGTGAGAGACACAAAGGAAAAGACAATCTGTGTGCTTGTGTACATGCAGTTAGAAACAAATTCACATAAACTAGACAAAGACTCAACCACTTGAATTATACTTGGTCAATATTTGTCTTGGGATATCTCTTGCTTTTTTTTCTTCACCACCACATTGGTTTTTCCAAATGTGATATATAATTTCCAATTGTTTGTGAACTTCCCAGTTTTTCTTCTACTTTTTTTACTTTCATTCAATTTTGGTTAGAAAACAATTGGTGAAAGAATTGGTATAAAGATATTGGTATAAAGATTGGTATAAATTTCACTATCACTGAAAATGATTTATCTTGGAGAATGTTCCATGTGTTCTTCAGAAGAATGTGTATTTAACTAACATACATGTGGCTTAGGTCTTCAGATGCCTTTTATTAACAAAAGTTTTTAATATGATTATAATTTATCAATACTTCATTTTCCAGTTAATGTGTTTTGTGCTTAATAAATTTTATGTCAACAAAGTTATGAAAATATATTATTGTAGTATCTTTCCCATAAATCTTGTACATATCAGAATTAACTTTATATTCCAATTGAATTTGTATGGCTTGGTGGTCAATTAGTATCCAATTTCTGACATATTCATTCCATTTGATATATTTCCAGCTATGTTATAACAAGCTCCTATGGGAGTTCTATTTTTAGCTTTTGTTGAACTTTTATGTTGATTTGGATAGTGGCTGTACTCTTTTACACTCCTACCAACAAGTTTTCTTCCCTGACTCTCTTGATCGTCAACATTTGCTGTCTGCTTGATGATACCCATTTGGAGTGAATGAAATCCCAATTTTGTTTTGATTTGTATTGTTAGTAAAGGTTTTCACCCATTCTGTGGGCTGTATCTACTTTGAGACAATTATTTCCTTTGATATTAAGCTTTTTTATTTTGTATTACTATCCTTTTCTTTGTGGTACAGGGGATTGAACACTGCTAGGTAAACTGCTGTGCTACACCCAAATCTTAGCAGCCTTTTTATATATGCCAATCCATTGTTTGCTTCTTTTATTTCCCGAACTATTACAGTTCTATTCAGTTATTATCTCTGTAGTTGGAAATATTTTCCAACTAATTCCTGGGTCACAGGGACTAGTCTTTGTCTTCTCTGTGTAGGCATTCAATATTCCATGACCATTTATTGAAGAAACTATCTTTTTGGCAACAAATGTTTTTGCCATCATTGTCAAAGACCAGATGGCTAAATGTATGTGGGTCTTCCATTCCAATTTGTTGGCAGTCACTTACAAGCAAGACAACTTGCAATTTGTGTTCTCCTCCCAAGTTTTGTCTGGATTTGAATCCCATTCTCAACTCTCACTGCTGGTCCACATGGGTTCTCAGGGAGGTTATCTGCTTAGACAGTTTTAAAGGCTTTGGAAATAGAAAAATGCAGTCTTCTACTGTCCCTGGCTGAGGCATACGTCTTTAAGACCTCTCATGGGATGAATTCCAGTGAATAAGTTGGGAAATACTTGGGTCTTCCTTTCCAGGATGTGTTTGCTATACCAAACACAAATTTCTCATTTACAAATTGTATTTTTCTAGAACCAGTTTTATGTACCCAGTTTGTATATATGTGAAGTCTCTGAAATGGTTTCCTTTTTCTTTTGTCTGAAGCAATATAGAGTACCCCAAAAGGCATTTTATTCTCTACCATTTTGCTTAGCACTGTTTGTTAGGAGTCCTTTTCTTTTATAAACCTGAAGTTCCATTATTTCTGTGTTTCTTATCTTCTTGCCTTTCCATTGCCACTAGCCTCTCCCTAAAGCCACACACATACCTGAGATTTCTTTTCAATTCGAGGAGACATGGAAATGTGCTAAGTGTCTCTAATCCATTTGCTCTCTTACCACTTTCTCCTTTTATTTAGTCTTGAACAATCAATTATGCAGTTATAAAACAACATCTCAATGATTTTCTCAATGTACTTTTATGTAGTGATAGTTCATCCTCCCAATCTTTAAAATTCATTACCTAATATAGTATCAGAAAGTATTAAGTTTAAAAAGTGTATCAAAGTGTCTAGCCAGGAAAACCAAAGATACCACTTTTACAAATTGACAGTATTGGCTATTCCAGAAAGAGGACTGGTGGGAAATGGAAAAATATAATTTCTATTGCAATATTGACCATATTCAGATACCAATTCAGTTTATGAAGTTTTCAGAGAAAAACTGAAGAGATGTGATATTTGTTATGAGTAGTCTTTAGGGAATAATTGCATGTCAAGCGCAAAGGGAATGTATGGCTTTGCTATGATGCAATACTTGTTTAAATGGTGACATCTTATTCATACATATTCCAAAACAAATATATAATTCAGTGTTGCAAAATAAAATTATGTCTCAATGTATTATGGCATGCATTCTCCAAAGTTATGGACACTGTAGTAAATGTGTTGTCATTTGAGATAAATAACTGAGCATTAGATCTATAATTCTCAAATTAAGTTTTCCTGGTGTCCTCTAATTTTCTGTGAAATTTTACATTTTGGAAACTATTAACAATAAATGATGTCTATAGATTCAATGAATGAATTCATATCTTAAATGGCAAGAGTACAACTGTGAAGCCTCAGAGCATTGCTCATTTAATAAAAAGTATAGGAATTTTTCTTCTTGTTCTATTTTCTGTATACAACCTGCCAATCCCATCTACATTTTCTGTTTCTCCTTTTGGTTGTTCTTATATATTTATTTTCCCTTAAGTTTAGCCTGTATGCCCAGTAAAAGACTAGCTGCTAAAGACAGGAGTCTATATTTTTGAGTATAAATAATATAGTAATTTACTATCTATCATAATCCAGTCTTAGAATGTGCTAGAATCAACCCTTCTTTGACAATCTATCATTCTTCTTGTCCCTAAATCATTTTCATCTTTCTCCATATAAGCTTATTCCAATGTAATTTACTTTAGTGTTTGAAACATTTTAAATTGATCACTCCACAAAAGGTAAAAATTTAAATTTCTAACATATATATTTTCATGATTTCTCACATATACGTATTTTCTTAAAATTGTTACCATCAAATTTCAAAGAAACTTAATCAAATAGTAAACAATTACAAATCACAATTATTACGAACTATAAAAATCAAACCTTTATTAGAAGCACATTTCATAAAGAACTTGTTAAGCCATACATCCAGATCTTCCTCCCAATTACATCAGGTACCTAGAGATGAGTATTACTTATTATTGGGAAGACAAAGTTAACTCTTCTGTTTTGCATTCTTTTATTTTATGTTATTTGGGAGTGGAAAGCTTTCTGGTTATTTATAGTAATAGTTATTTTACAGTAATACCATTGTTGAACTTCTAAGCTAGACAAAATTTTTTTATGGGAGAGGGAAGGGATAATGGGAAAACAACAAAGGAGGGGTAACAATGCTGGACAAGAAATGGACTCAACACCTTACTCGTGTAACTGTAACCCCTCTGTACAGCATCTTTACAAAAAATAAAATTAAAAAAAATATTTTCAGTCATGCAACCTGTGAGTCACTCTAATACTAGCTACTCAGAAGGTTGATTGCTGTTCAAAGCCAGCCCAGACAGGAAAGTTTTGAGACTTTTTTCTACAATTAACTACTAACAAGACTGATATAAAGCTGTGGCTCAAGTGGTAGAGCACTGACCTTGAACAAAAAAGCTCAGGGTCAGTGCCCAGGCCTCAAGTTCATGCCCCCATAACTGGCACACAAAAATATTTTTAACGATTAGCTGACAACTCAATTTGATAGCTCTGAAATATTTCTCAAAACAAATGGAAATGACTGAGTTTGCAAAAGAATCAACTACTTGGTCATTAACTTAATCCCTGTCTAAACACCAGTACCAAGATTTAGGTCAGATTTTAAAGCACTGCTTTATTTGTACAGAGAGAGAAAGAGAAAATTACTTGAGGAAAGTAGAAAGATGTGTAGAATAATTCCAAGCCATATGAAATTTATAGGCAAAACCTATTAAGTTGACTACCTGATAATTAACACTTAAATTCTCTTTAACTATTACCCCTGGAGAAAACTCTCCTAAATTATTACTCCGGGATAGCTTTCTTATAAATTAATGTTTCCTGAAGTTTCGGGATATGTGTTGTCCATGGGAGAAAAGAAGAAAGATGTATGCCTAGGTATCAGAGTTTTTCATTTTTAGAAGCAATTCTGGTTTGGTGCCAGTCCTGGAGCTTTGAAGTCAGGGCTGTGCGGTATCCCTGGGTTTTTTGCTCAAAGCTCATGCTTTACTGGTTGAGCCACTGCTTCACTTGCTTTTTTTTTTACTGGTTAATTAAAAAGAAGAGACTCTGTGACTTTCCTGCTAGGGCTGGCTTTAAACTACAATCCTCAGACTTCAGCCTCCTGAAGTGTCTAGTATTACAGTTATGAGCAACTCGCACCTTGTAGAAGCAAATTTTTTACTATGCTTGTTAATTTTGCAAATAAAATCATTCTCTTATACCAAATATCTGAATCTAGACATATGATATGTGGGGAGAAAAGAAGAATATTTTTTGTCATGATCCATCATTGAAGCTGATAGGGTAATGTAAAAACACAGGCGTTGCCGTAACAAGCTTCACACCTTAAACTACATCTCAGCAGAGGCTACTACATGGCATAGTACTCAGAAAGCAAAATAAAACAACAGAAAATACGATCCACACTGTGGAGTGATTTTAATCAAATTGAATCAATATGTAATTTAAATCTGAATTTCATTTTTAAATTTAAATTTATTTTCTCCTCAAAAATCGTTTCTTCTTACAGTATACCTATATAAAATCTAAAACAAAAACAAGTATCTTCATTATTTTTACAAGCTGCCTAATTAAAAACAAGATTTGAAATAATGCTAAAAATACACAGTTGCCTAAAAATGGGAGAGGCAGTCTGAACCATAGGTAGAAATTGAGCCAGATCCTTATGTTTTTGTTCCGAAACTGCAGTCAATTCCAAATCTACTCCGGTGAAAATGATACCTACCTGTAGCCAATATTATATCCTGAATATCTGGATATTCATGAGACGGCAGATGTGGGTGGAAAATTTCAGAAGATGGTGGACTTCTTTCAATATATATCTCCTTATTATTAACCACAAACTAAGCAGGACATTTTTAAACAGTGCCTGGTGTCAAGAGAGCTCAAGCAACTCCCAAATGTTCATTCTGTAAAAAGTACATTTGTAAAAAGCAGTGAGTTATTTAAAATTTTTTCAGACTGAATTCACAGCCACAGAAAACATGATCGTGTAAAAACACACACAAAAAAAACCCTATTGCAAACCTGGCCAGAGAGACAATGTTCAAGATAATAGAAGTCATCATTCCTTATCTAGTTTAACAATGATTAGTAACTATTCACTTTTCCTACAAAATATCTTTTTTTGTACTAAGAGGACTTTTCCTTTGTAACAGTTTAAGTAAAACTTGAGCATGTGACTATGACTGAACTGTGTGATAAGTTTTCTAAGAGTGTATTTTATTCGCTAAGGTTAAGATGCATGCTAGTGGAAAAGTGTGCCAGTCCTAGTTAGAGGCAAATGAAGAACTAGTTGAGTCCACTTTGTTAGAACCTAGCCGTAGTACAATGCCCCCCAAATGAAAAACTAGCCTGTTTTTGACTAAACTTAAGTTTATACAGTCTGGTTCGACAGATGCCTTTGTGAATAGTAGTGACAAAACCCAGGTGTGTGTCTTTTCAAACAAAAGCAGCCCCTCTGTAGGAGACCTTGGAATACTGCTGTGCCAGGATGACAGGAAAGGTAAAGCCGACTCGTTCTGCCGCTTCCACAGCTGGCGCCTATTAACATGACGGATTCGCTTCACAGGGAAATGTCTATATGCTTTTAAGTGAAGCCGACATCAGACCTAATGTTATGTATAACAACTCTGGACTTCTCAAAGGATGAGCGCACCTGCTTCAGAAACCTCCTAGTCAAAAGGCTGAAACGACTGGCTAACACACGGAAAATCCAGGAAAACGCCCAGGGAAGGAGCGTCCGATACGACGCGTGCCCGACGGGAGCAACTCGCTGACGCACGGGCCCGACGCACGCGCGCGTCGCGGTCCTCCCCGAGCCGCCGCCAGGCCTGGAGGGCTCCACCTCGCACGACGGCCCGGCCGGCCACCGCCCCGCCGGGAGGCGCCAGGGCCTTCCTGGGGGCGACCCCGAGGTGGCAGAGCTCACCACACGTGACCCCTAAGGCCGTCACCTGACGCGGGAGTCACCTCACCCCCCGCCCCGGGAAGCCGCGGGCCCCGCCCGGCGGACCGCTAGCTAGGCCGCCCGACGACAGGCGCGCCAGCGGGCAGCGCGCCCGGAGAAGAGGCCACAGGGGTCCCGGTGGCTCCCCCGGACACGCATCCGGAGTGTAGCCCGCGGGTACCCCCGAAGAGCCGCGCGCGCAGGAGCTGCGGTAACGGCCGCGCTAGAGGGCGCGCCTGAAGGCGGACCTCAGCCCCGCGGCCGAGGAGAACGCTTACCCGGCTCCACGCCGCCGCCGCGAGTCCTCCTCCCGCCGCGGAGGCTGACGGGATCCATAGTATGAGCCGCCCTGCCGCGGAGGCTGTCGGGACACGTAGTCTGACCCGCCCTGTCGCGGAGGTTGACGGGACATGTAGTTACCCTCCGCCACCCAACCTCCCTCTCCTTCAGCCCGGCTTCGGAGCGCCCCCGCGATTCCCTCAGGCCTGACTTCCGGTTCCCTCGCGCAGCCCTGACCTCCGTCCCGCCGTGATTTTCCAGCCGGGAGGCGCTCCTCCACCCTTCCGGTCCCCGCCCGGCATCGACCCCTTGGGGCGGCGCGCGGTTGGTCCGGCTCCGGGCGGCCGGCGCCGGCGGGCCTGGATCTCGCGTGCGTCCGCTGGGCAGCGGGCCCGGTCCCGCGGCAGCCCCGCTCCTCCAGACCGGCTCTCCCGTCCTTGTGTTAACCTCTGCCCGCGGGCAGGGCCACGCCCCGGTCGTCGCAGCCACCGACATGGGAATCCCTCCGCGGCGCACCCGGAGCGGCCACCTTCGCGGGGGAAGCAGCGGGGTCGTCCGGGAAACCGGAAGCCCGTGGTGACCTCCGGCGACCCGGCTGGTTTTCGGTCCGTTTTCTAAGTACTGGGGAAGTCGGAACCCGGCGGCCTCGGGGGCGGCTCCGCGGAGCCGGGGCCCAGGGTGAGTACGTCTCTCCGGCCGGCGGGGGCCGGGGCCGGTCCGGACGCCCTCCTGCTCTCCGCCCCGAGCCCTCTCTTCACGGAGCGGCCCCTTCGGGTGTCCCGTTCCTGGGTTATCTCCACACCCCACCTGTTACCAGTCCTGCCGGGCCCTTTCCTCTCCCTTTAGCTTTCCTCTCTGCCGTCTTGATTTCCTGGGCGCCATTAGATTCCCTTCATTCACTGAAGAGACACGTTGGACAGAAGAGGGACATAGCACTAGGCCAGCACTGTCTGGGGTGCTGTGATCTCAGTCCCCTGTATTTGTCAACGAGTGTCAGTACGTAGTGGCTGTCCGCCGTCTAAACAGTGCTTTCCAATCCTCTATTTGCGGTTTTCTTTGCTTTCTTTTTTTTTTTCTTCTTTCAAGGAAGGGTAACATCTTTATCCCCTACACACGGGAACTCAAATACTGGAAGTGATATCATATACCCATAAAAAACCTAAGTTGCCCCAGCCGAGTTGGGAGTACTCTGAGGTAATCAAAGACATTGACCCTTGATCCTTAAACTAAAGGAGCAGCGAGAGAGGGGGGGAGGGGGAGAGAGAGCACTATACGTATCCAGGTACATGTGTTTACCGGGCTCAGGGCTTCTAGATCTTGGGAGCCGTACCTGAGCTTCCCCCCATCCCCAAGGCTAGTGCTCTACTATTTGAGCTCTACTGTTTCCCTTCCAGCTTTTTTTTTTTTTGCTGGTTAACTGGAGGTATGAGTCTCCTGGACTTTCTTTCCTAGGCTGGCTTCAAACCTCCTGCAATGCTCATATCTCAGCCTCCCGAGGTATGAGCCAGTAGCACCCAGCAGGAGACACTTTTTATTACTAGAATTTTAAGTTGGATTGAGCAATGTCTGAAGGTATTGTTTTAATTCCAGTCCATTTCTTTCAAGACACTGTAATTGCCCAGTCTATTGTGGTTACTCCATCTTTCTTACATTGGAAAGGTATATCAGTCACAGATAGTTACAGAATTGTAATGCAATATTACTGGTGATTAAAGTTTTATGCAAATGAAAGGCTTCACGGTTTTACTAAAAGAAACATATTAGTGGGAAAAAGCACTGGATTGGACCTGAGCACTAGAGCCTCACATTTTGTAAGAGAGAGACAAATCATCTCTCTCTAAAATAAGGATACTTACTTTCCAAGGAACCTAAGCATAATTCCTAGGAACCGTAATAGATCTCAGGTCTGATATCCATCTACATGTCTCAGTTATCCCATCTATAAATTAGGAAGGTTCTTGCCCACCTCAGAGGTTTTACAGAGATGGATTTTTTCTGAAGAGCAAATGAAGTAGTTCCCTAAAAAAGTGAAGCATATTGCCTAAAATATCTGATTAACATTAAAAACACAGAACGCTGTCAAGATTATTAGTAAAAACAATGTGTTGAAGTATTTTTAATAGTCATAAAATAATAGAATCAATGTAATTAGAATCAAAATATAGTTCTTAGGGTTAGAAAATAATAATTTGATAACACTAGCAGCATTTAATGTATAACAGGTACTCAGTTGCACAAAGATATATTAGTTTAAGAACTGAATGAAAAGTATGCTACTACCCACACTCTATCACTGAGTGAGAGTCTTAGTGAGTTCCTGCCACAAAAATGCATTTCTGCACTAAGGCTAATGATTTGAGATAATAAAAATTAGAGTGGTGTTTTTCATATTGCATGTTTGAGTACATTTTTGCTATGATAATAGGCAAAATTACTTTTGAGCCTCAGTTTTGTTAACTGTAGTAATAATTTTCTTGCCAACTTTTAGTAGATGAGGTAATGTGTATATTTTAATTTGTCACTCTGTTTCTGATACAATTGAGAAATCCCTCCTGTTGTTCAGGATGCCAATCTGTATTGGGATTAAATTTTTCCTTCACCACATTTGAATGATATAGCTCAACTATGTCATTTAAAGGTTGGGAATTTATGTCCATAGAAGTGAAGTGAACTAATCTCAAATGAATGTTAAAGATGCTAGACTACAGTCTGGGTTTCTGAACCCCGACCAGTGCCGCCTTGCCCTGATAGTTAGGAAAATCACAATTCATTTTGTGTTACCTTTCAGAACATTTTATTAGGAAGATAGATTTAGAAGACAGCATATTTGAAGTCACATCACAACATTGTCACTGTTTGTTGGGTAGCTGTAGGTAAGATATTCATCTTTTTAAAAGAATTTGTAAATTAGGGTAGTACTACTTACCTAAGAAGTAGGACAATGCACGCAAAAACATAAGTGGTTGGTATTTGTCAAATGATCAATAAATGGCAAATATAATGATGTTGAAAAAGATAAGATATTCCTAGAAAAAAGACCAATCTGGTATCAAAAGATACCTACATATTTTCTAGTGCCCCCCCCCCCCCAAGAATATATAACATGAAGATCTGAGCCTCCTTAGTGTTGGTCACAATGAAGACTCAAACTTACGACGGTTTAAAATACTTTCAGTTAATAATGTTTAAACTTGTTTACCCATATGTGTCTCTTTAGCTTTGGGTATTAATGTTGTCTTTTCTCATCAACTTATTTAACAAATTATGTTCTTGTTTGTCTGTGATGTTAAAAGAATTCTAGTTGCAGGTGGAATCCTGTAAATTTTGTAGATACGGGATTACGATTACTTTATGCACCTTGATATTCTGACTTATTTAGATCTTCAGTGGATCTAAGTAACCACATAATTTTTTTCTTTCATATTTTGTTTCAAACTGTGTGGATTAAATACAAACAATTAAAATCCAGCACTTAATGTGCCCTAGGCAGTTTTGCTATCATTTGAGTCACTCCTCAAGTCCTTTGTTTGTAACTTGTTTTTGAGATAGGGCCTTTCATTAATTTTGCCCCAGCTGACCTCAGATTTGCAATTTCCTTCTGCCTCTGAATAACTGGAATTACGGGCTTGTGATTCTGAGGCAGTGGTCCACACTTCACTTTGTCTAACAGTGAATTAGGTTGTCTCCAGCTTTTTGGAACATTCTTTAAAAAGCCAGATTTCTTTGTGTTTTTGTGGCACATTTCTTATTAAATTTCATGACAAATTCACTTGAGCTTGTCTTTGGGAAGTGTTTTGATAATTGTGACGTTGTTGTCTAGAAAATATATCTGTGTGTGTGTGTGGTGTGGTGGGGGGGGGGGAGTTGTCTGGAGATCCAACCCAGGGCTTTACATATTGCACATGTTAGGCAAATGCTGTACCACAGAGCCACAACCTCAGTGTTGTAATTTTCAGTCACTGTGTTTTGGGGCACTCATTTTAAAGATTAACAGAAACAAATATTGGTTACCTTGAGAAAATTTAAATTACAGTAGAATGCCAAAATATTAGGTCTACCTTGATCTAATTTGTTATGTATAGTAATAGCCAGTTGTTATACTTGTACACTTTATCCAGAAAATCAAGCATCTTAACTATTTGAATGTATATCTATGTAGAAATGTTTTATTGTAACAAAAGTATATAAATGGATCTTTTGTTAAGAGGTAGACTACTGCTACTGTAGTTCCATTTGCTTCTCTGTAAAAATAAGGTTCAGAAAGGATAAAGGAAGCTTAAGTAATAAAACCATAGGCTATACATAGTCTACTATTTTGCTAGCAGTTGGTATAATAATGGGATATTTGCCTTGTATTATTGGCTACTTTCTAAGATCATTCTTTACAGGGCTCAGAAACTACTAAGCTCAAGGGATTGGATTTGTAAACAGTAATGGTTCACATTCATATTAATTAGCTATCTAATATGGGACTATTTTACCTGCTGTTAAACTAGACTGCATTGTACCACTTTAGTAGCCATCTACTCTATTCTACTTCTAAGGCATTCTCTGCATAGATAAACCTCATATGGTGCTACTTGTTGATACTTTGAGTTTGCCTTATTGGAATAACCCATATCTTCTTTTTAGAAGGGAAATTATCATAGTTTCTTCTGACAACAATATAAATGGAATGATTCTTACTGTTTTGCAGTAGAGGTGAACCCAGAGAAAGCAAAGTAAACTCCTGTAGGGGAAGGAATCTTAAAACTCTTCATTATTAGGAGACTGTGCAGCTTGTATCAAAAGAAGCATGAAAATCTGCCACTTTTTTTTAACACTGTAGCATAGGTCATTTTTGTTCTTGGGCTTTGTTGATAAACTGGGAAATACTCTAATTCATGGCTATGAGTTGTCTTAGTAGGTTCAAAACTTTTAAATGGTGTGAATAAAGATTAAATAATAGGATTTATCTACTTAACACTTAACAATATAGATGCTTATTTTTGCCTGTCTTTTCTATAATATCACTTAGACACAAATCACTTCATCCAAACTCTATCTTAAGTTGAAAGCAATTAGAAGTTTTTAACTATAAAATGACAAAAGCAGCTGGGCACCAGTGGCTCATGCCTGAAATTGTAGCTACTCAGGAAGCTGAGGTACAACAATTACAGTTCAAAGTCAGCCTACGGCAGGAAAATCCATAAGACTCTTATTTCCAATTAGTTTCTAAAAAGCCAGAAGTGGAGTTGTGGCTCAAGTGGTAGAGTGCTAGCCTTGAGCAAAAGAGCTTAGGAACAGCATCCAGGCCCTGAGTTTAAGCCCTAGGACCAGCGCAAGAAAAAAAAAATAGAAAAACAAAAATACAGTGAAAATAAACCATATAAATAAACATGCAAACAAAACATTTTTAGTATATTATCTGACATAAAGTAGAACAAAAGCCAGTACACCAAGCTGAATTTTTTGAGGAAAGTAAGCATAGTGAAATATGCATTAAATTTCCTCTTTACATCTTACTGTCTACTTATTTTACTTTGGAAAACTTACTTAAATTCTTCTAACTCAATTCCTTTCCCTATAAAGTTCTCAAAAGAATGACTGATAATGAGTCATTAATTTTTATTTCAAGCAAGGAATAGTTTTCAATAATCATTAATTGCTAATCTAAAATACATGAAATTTTGTTGATGGCCTTTAGAATGTTATAATTAATGTTTTATTTTAAACTAAAAAACATTGTACAGTATTTTTAGTTTCTCATATATGACCTTTATTTTTTCATGAAGTTATAAAAGGTTTCAGCTACTCTTCCTTCCATAGTATTTTTTTTTTTTTCAGGAATTCTCAGGTCTAGAACTAACGCTGAGTTTAATAACAAAAGCAGATGTAAAGTTTCCTTTTTATTACTAATAAGGTAATTGATCTCAAAGGTTTTGTGGTCAGAATCTGGTTTGAATTTTTCTCTATCCACTCTTCATTTTCTAATCAGTATTAAGAATCTCATAGGTAGTGATAGGTTGGGGACAAAAAGATAAAACAGACACATCCTGTAGTTTCATGCAGCTTAAGTTTTAATAGTTTTAAATGAGCAAATTACCTTTCTATGGCCTACATATAATATGTAGGTGATTCTTACTTTATTGAAGGACCATAACATATTATACATAGTGAATCTTCAAACATTAATGTGTCCTTTATTGTGAATATACAAACTTAAGCAATTATTAAGGGAACAATATAGTATACATTAAAACTTGCATAATATGCCAGAATTCTCCTAGACATGAGAATGCTAAGGTTGATGAAGGAAAATATGTGAGCATGAGATGTTCTTTTAGAGGAAGGGTATTTCATGTGGAGCAGTTATGTATGTGTGGAGCAGGTATGTATGTGTATTCGTTTTCTGGTGACAGTGTGTGTGTGTTCTTGTCAAGTCCTCTATACTCTAATCACAATTTTTATAAAATTTTAAAGAGCTTTCTCATAGTAAATAATGTTTGCTGGAGGTATGGCTCAAATGACAGAGAGTACCAAGGCCTGAATTAAAGCTTCAGTACCAGCATGAAAAAATAAAGAATGGAAGAATGGATGGATGGATGGATGGATGGATGGATGGATGGATGGATGGATGGATGGATGGATGGACGGACAGACAGACGGACAGACAGCCTACTTTATAGCTATCAGTCATTTAAAGTTCTTAAGCTTCTATGAGGTAATGTTATTTCCTAAGTTTATAAATAAACTAAAATAGAGATTTTAAACAGCTTTCCCTGAGTTATATGGATAATTAATTGGAGAACTTGGATTAGAACCCAGATAGCTCTGTTCTTAACTATGCTGTGCTGTGTCTAAAAGAAAACAGGAATATTTAATCATTGTTCTGATATGCACATTTTTCAAAGTGTGTTTTTTTCTTGTTCACTATTCGAGACATTTATATTTTATACTCTTTCTTTTAAATAGCTGTCATGGATGCACTATTAGAAGACGATATATGCATTCTTAATCATGAAAAGGCTCATAGGAGAGAGACAGTGACTCCAGTCTCAATATATTCAGGAGATGAATCTGTTGCATCACATTTTGCCCTGGTCACTGCATATGAAGACATCAAAAAGCGACTTAAGGATTCAGAGAAAGAAAACTCTTTCTTAAAGAAAAGAATAAGGTTTTTAGAAGAAAAGGTAATTTTTCTTTTGCTTGTATATTTTATGACAGACTAATTCAAAATATTTGAAACTTCAAATATTTTGTCCTCTCTTCCATGGTTTTACTAACTTTCCAAGGACAACTCACTATGAATCTCCTAATTGGACATTAAAGTTGTGATTTGCTAGATAAATATTTGTAGAGTTTTACAGCTTGGAAGGAGATATATTCCGATTATTTTCATTCTTTTTTATACTATGGTACCCTCATAGCTGTATGTACTTGACTCTAAAATTATGAATCTGTAAACAAGTGACATAGTATCACAGGAGGACACTTCTAGATTAATGTTTAATAAGGTCTTCTTTACTTCCACATTCTTTTTTATTCTTTCACACCCATAATGGGAATAATGCTTTTAACTAGTAATGTCATTTACTTTTTCATGGAGAATGTTGACACTTCTAAGTGTTATGGAATAGATAAGCAATGTAGCTGTTTCCTTTTATTTATTGGACCCTGAGAGCTTGTTTGGAGGTTCTAGCAGGGGAGCGCAGCTACTCGTATACTCTTGACCGAAGACTGGTCCTCTTCTATCGGGGATGGTCGTCCTCTTCGACCGAGCGCGCAGCTTCGGGAGGGACAGACATGGAGCGGTGAGGGAGGAAGGGGATACCCACCTAGCCAGCCAGATCAGCCGAATCAACCCTGGCGATCAATGGGGTGACAGATGGTCGCAGCCAGATCGCCCTCACATCCTTTTATATTGGGAAGTCTTCCTTGATTACCCATTTACTTTTGAGTTTTAAATTTTAGTGTCTGGTTTTTGGGTTTTTTTTCCCAGATAAATTTACATTTGCTTCTTAGAAATGACAGCTTCCACAGAGGGTAAAGGAAATGGTTATCAGCCAATAAATTCATTATTCTGTATTAAAAGATTTGAAGATGTAAGTGGGTAGAGCTCAATTTATGAAGGATAGAAGTAAAAATGGGTTAAAATGGTCAAAATTTATTTGTGTGAACTTTAATTATGATTAAGCAAATCTGTTATATACTGAATAAAAATGGAGAAGAAATTCGTTATATACTGGATAAAGATAAAGAGAGAAGGTAACTTTTTGAAGCTCATTGTTATGCTTATTTTAAAATGTAGTGAAACAGGATTTACCTTGTTACCAGTAGTTCTATACCAATTCTTGAGTAATACATGATTTAATGAACTAGCATGTCTGTTCCTTGAAAACGTTCAGCCTGAGCTGTGTGCTGGTAGCTCATGCCAGTAATCCTAGCTACTCAGGAGGCTGAGATCTGAGGAATACATTTTAAAACCAGCCCAGGCAGGAAACTGTCAGATTCTAATCTCCAATTAACCACCAGAAAATTAGAAGTGGCTCTGTGGCTCAAGTGGTAAGAGTGCTCACCTTGAGCTGTAGAGCTCAGGGACAGTGCCCAGGCCCAGAGTTCAAGCCCTATGACCGAAAAAAAAAAAAAAAAATTCATTCTGGCCAGGCACTGGTAGCTCATGCTTATAATCTTAACTACTTAGGCAGCTGAGATCTGGGGATCACAGTTCAAAGTCAGCCTGGATAGGAAAGTCCATGAGCTCCTTATCTCCACATAACCATCAAAAAGCTCAAAGTGCAGCTGTGGCTCAAGTGGTAGAGTGGTAGCCAGGCCCTGAGTTCAAACCCAACCAGCACAAAAAGAAAGAAAAAAGAAAAAGTTGAGCCTGATGTAACCAGATACTTTTTCTGATCATCGAAATCATATACTATAGGCTAGAAAATTTCCTAAGCATTTCAAACAAATGGTATACTCTGGTATGGTATACTGTGATATAGTAACAGTGATTTTTCAAATACTGATGAGACCATGTTCGATACTGATTTTAAAAAAGTATAAGTATAGCAAACTTTAAAAGTCTTCTCTACATTCTTGCTTTGCTAATCAGTAAAGATTAATTGTCTGAAAATGAAATATTTACTTAATTATAGGCTAAAGGGAGACTTTTTTCCTTGTGGAATACTTTCTTAAGTTGGTTTTTGTTTTATTTTCTAATTTCATATTTTAGCTTGTAGGAGCTAGACTAGATGAAGAAACAAGTTCTGTTGGACGAGAACAAGTAAACAAGGCCTATCATGCATATCGAGAAGTTTGTATTGATAGAGATAACTTGAAGAGCAAACTGGATAAAATGGTAAGTTGGTTTGAAAAGACTGACACCTGTATAGTATAATGGAGTTTTCTCTTTAAAAAGGTTTAAAATTAAGGAAATCATATTTACATTTATTAAACATTTAGTATCATACATATTCAAGGTTAAGTGCAATTGTAGCCATTATGCTTGCAATTTATTTCCATATCAAAAATATAATGATGTTTAGAAATTTAAATACATCTAACATCACTTATTTACCTTGCAAAATCATGACATAGTAGAAGTAGTAGATGTGTTAAAAATAAAGCCAATGAATAATAATGTTAGAAAAAAGAAAAAGATTAGTAAGAAATGGAATTCATTTTCATACCTTGTTGTTAAAGACTAGAATGAGGGTTTTGTTTTCAATATTCACCTGAAAATGAAGATATAACAGCAACTTACAGATTTTATTGAATGTAATTTGGCATTTTCCCTACTTAACTAGAATAAAGACAACTCTGAATCTTTGAAAATATTGAATGAACAACTACAATCTAAAGAAGTAGAACTCCTCCAGCTAAGAACAGAGGTGGAAACTCAGCAGGGTATGCCACTTACTTGTTATAAATTCTAACAGAATACATTTTTTTCCATTGTGCATTATATCCACCATTAGTATACTACTTTCTTTAAGTCTAATTTTTTGTTCATTTTAGGCTTATGTTAATTTTTCTGTTCTGCTTTCACACAGTATCAACTTCCTTTAGCCTTTCCTTGGCTCCAAATTATACTTTCCCTAGGATGGGATTTATTCAGGGCTAGTTTGCAGTGACATAGGAGTAAAATCCCATTCTTATGAAAACTTCTGTCCCACTGGTATGTTCTGGCTGGCTTACCTTTCTTGAACATTTGCTTAATTACGATAGTATCATGCAGTAGTATCAGTTGTTCTTCCTCCTTTTCTTTCATAAATTCTTAAAAAGATGAAGATAAGATGTTGATGTGAAAAAGATTTGGGGGTTCTAAATCATGTTCTGTTCTCTTAAATGTTCTCACCAGACAAAAGGATAGGCATCTAAGAAACCTTTTGATAGAAAATTACCATAAGATCACTTTCCATGATTGGTGGGGACTTTTTGTCAATGAAAATACAAAGTAATAAGTTAAAGATAAAGTAGTATCCAGGTATATTGAGTTTCTATAGTGGATTGTTTATGAACAAAATTGTTTCAGCACACCTGTTAGGTCTATTCATCAAATTTTGTACTGTAATGACACTGAGATGGAGTATTAACTATCTTAGTTTATTCACTTCATTATTTTTATAAAACTCAGTTGTAGTTATGTAAAATTGATTATTGGTCTGTCAGAATTTTTGTGTTTGCTGACAAAAATGGTATTTTTTAAGATTCCAGACAAATTTATACTTAAATAAAAAAATCAGAGATAGGATAATTAATACATTCTAAAAGGTTGCAAGATATTCTTATTGGCATGTCATTGAAAATACTGTTTCTTTTTTCAAAATTATTAATGGATACATGTTTTATATTCCTTTTTCTATTATCTACATTTTGCCAGCATTTTTAACCTTTCTAGAATTGAATCACTGTAGAAGGCAGATAATAATTTTGATGTCCATCCTTTTGTAGTGATGAGGAATTTAAATCCACCTTCATCAAACTGGGAGGTAGAAAAGTTAAGCTGTGACCTGAAGATACATGGTTTGGAACAAGAGCTGGAACTGATGAGGAGAGAATGTAACAGTCTCAAGCTAGAGCTACAGAAAGCCAAACAAATGGTACTACAAAATTATTCAATTCAATTCTTTTGTCTCATATGTAGGATGTATAACTGAATCTTAAACCAGAGAGTTATCACCAATTATAACAACTCAGAAAGGAGATATTCTCCTTTCCTGACAAAAATAGTCATTTGGTCTTCTACGTTAATCATTTGTTCTACAATTTGACACTTTGTCCCGATACCAAAAGTTTATAATTTTAAAAGACTTAATTTCTAAAAGGTTTATTAGGTTATTACTTCTAGCTACTCAAGTGGCTGAGATCTGAGGATCAAGGTTCAAAGCTAGCCCAGGCAGAAAAGTCCATGAGACAGTTATCTCCAATTAACCACTAATTAAAAGCCAGAAGTGGAGCTGTGGCTCAAGTAGTAGAGCTTCCTTGAGTGCCCAGCCCCTGACTTCAAGCACTAGGACTAAGACACACACACACACATATTCATACACACACAGCATGTTAGGTTATTACAATTGTTCTTTCAAGCTCCCTTTCCTTCAGTTTTCCTCCCTACCCCCCTTTTTAATCCTATTAAGTTTAAAGAGTTTAAAGATTTTAAGTTTCTCATTTTATATAGCTTAATATTAGGGTTAACTAGATATTAAAGACAGATAATTTAGTAGCAGCTTTAAAAGCTGAGAATTTAAGAATTGCCCAGATCCCGAAGTCTGCCTAACTGCTGTAGGTTATCTTAAAGTCATTGTCTTAAAACACACAGTGTGTCTCAAGTCCTCACCTGGAGTCTGTATACTAATACTTTACATTTGGTTCCTAATAAAGTTGGACATAGATTGGCAGGTATCATGGTAATGTGCTATGATAAAAAATAAAATGATAAAGAAGCAAGGAAGTATGAGAGCACTGCACCAAATAGAGAATTTGAAATAGCTGTTCAAAGAAATTGAAAAGCTTAGTAATCTGTACAAATATAATTTCTGTGTATTTATGTATTTGTGTAAATAAGTATACACAGTTAAATAATCCTCAGCTCAACCATTTTGTACACCAGAGCATTCCACTATTCTACATTACTCTAGGATGTTGCCATGTAAAAGAGAAACAACTTCCCATACATTCTGACTGCCAACTAGGACTGTGCACCTGAAACCCAAGTGTCCTTAGCTTGTACGTCTCAGGGGAGTCTGCTTAATAATCTTATATACACAGTTTATTCTTAAAATTATGTATATAAACTACATGAATCCATCTGTATTGGGAAATGAGAGCTTGCTACAGAGCCCCTGGGTGGGTTTGATAAATGGGAAATGCTTATAAAAGTGATTGTTAACTTGTCGTAGAGCCAACAAGTTTTTATTTTCTTACTTGATATTAAAAGTTGATTTTCCTAGCTTTGAACTTGAGGGCAGACACACAGCACCATTCGTCCAAATGATTCCAGCATTTTATTCCATAAGCTCACTTGACATAGTCACTACTGGGCCTCTTTAAAAAATATGTGCTTGTAAAAATGTACACAGTGAGGCTCTAGATAATTTGTTGGTATGCACGTACTACTTGAAAAGAATTCATTTGACAGCTTTTATATACTGTTCATGTACATTTCAGTGTAGAGTAAGAAACAGTATCATGAAATCATGGACATTTAGCTCATAATTGTTTTGCTTATTTAACTGTAACATTAGGAGCATCATTTAGCTTTTTAGAGAACTTGATTTCTGTGGACATTAAGTACTTCTTTTTCATGAAGGTTAAATTTGTGTGTGTAACGCAGAGTTTACCTAGTATTCTCACATAAGTGTGATTTTACAAACAATAAAAACACTTTTTTTCCAATGTTTTATTGTGATTAAGTGATTACATAAATTTCACAGTATTGTGGGATAGTGATACTTAGTTAAAAGTCACAAACACATTCTAACCTTCCTGGGGAAAATTGTCTTTATTGTGGTCTATAAAGTTTATGAGTTCTATGAGCTTTGAAAATACAGTTATTTCTTCCACATCCAGTGATATGTACATTTCTTTCCTTTTGCTTAGTGTCAGCTGTTCACTCTTTCCCGCTCATTCCCTCCCTCCCATCGCTGCCATTGAGTTGCTTAGTTCATTTTGATCAATGAACAGTGGAGCTGATGGGTCCCGCTGTTGTATGTTTTCCCCTGTTTTCCTCTGTTTGTGTCCTCCTAGTTTCCTTTTGAGCACAGCGCCACTTCCGGTTTTCTAGTGGTTTATTGGAGATAAGAATCTCACCGTTTCCTGCCCGGGCTGGGTTTGAACCCACAATCCTCAGATCTTAGCCTCCTGAGTAGCTAGGTTACAGGTGTGAGCTACTGGTGCCCTGCAGGAGGAATGAGTTTCTTGAGTTCCCTATATACTGGATATTAGGCCCTTGTCTGATATATTGCTGGTAAATATTTTTTTCCCAGTTAGTTGGTTGTCTTTCTGGTTTGTTTGCTATGTCTTTAACTCTGCAGAAACTTTATTTTAAGGTAGTCCCATATGTCAAGTCTCTCTCCAATTTTTTGTGACCCTGGAACTCTGTTCAGGAAGTTCCTGCCTGTGGCTATAAGTTCAAGTGTCTCTCCTATTCTGTCCTGCAGTAGTTTCAGAGATTCAGGTTTGATGTTAAGGTCTTTAATCCATTTTGAGTTGATGTTAGTGCATGGTGAAAGGCTGGAGTCCACTTTTAGTTTTCTGCATGTGGCTGCCCAGTTTTCCCAGCACCAGTAATTGAATAGGCTGTGCTTCTTCACACTGTATGTCTGGCTTCTTTGTCAAATATCAGATGACTGTAAGTGTGTGGTTTTATTTCTGGATCTTCTGTTCTATTCCATTGGTCTGCTTTTGATGGGTGAATTGAGCCCATTAATATCTATGGTTATTATAGAGAGATGCATTGTGTTTCCTGTCAATTTCCGGCTTTCCTAAGTTTTTATTCTTTCCTCCTGTGCTTACTAAGTCGGACTTCTAAGTGATAACTATCTGATGTGGATCCCTGTTCATGATTGCTTTCTTCAGGTTGTGTTCCCCCTCTTAATATTCTTTGTAATGCTAGCTTATTGTTTATGACTCATTTAGTTTTTCTTTACTATTAAAATTTTAGTTTCTCCATTGAATGTGAATGCTAGCTTTGCTGGGTATATCAGTCTGGGCTGGCAGTTATTGGTTCTCAAGGCTCAGATCGTACTTTCCCAGGCCTTTCTTGCATTCAGTGTCTGTGTGGAGAGATCTGCAGTGGTTCTGATTTTTTCCCATTAAAGTATAGCTCCTTTGTTTTTGCTGCATACAAGATTGTTTCTTTATTTTTCAGAGCTATCATTTTTACTATGATGTGCCTGGAAGTATTTCTCCTGGGATCCTGCTTGTTAGGTGTTCTATTTGCTTCTGTTGTGTAGGTGAGATGTTCTCTTTCAAGATGGGGGAAATTTTCATTGATAATCTTACTGAATAAGTGCTGTATTCCCTTGCTTTGATACTCTTCACCTTCGTTCACTCCAGTTTTATGAAGGTTAAATTTCTTGGCACTGTCTGCTAGCTCTTGGATTTTCCTTTGGCATAATTTAAGTGATTTTTCCATATCAGTGACTTTTTTTTTTTTTTACAGTTGCTGCATTTTGTCTTCCATATCTGATATTCTAATTTCCATTTGGTTTACTCTGTTAACTATGGCTTCCATTGTGGTTTGCATGGAGGAGATTGAGCCATTGATGGCTTCTGTGTTGGTTCTCAGAGTATTAATCTCATCTTTTAGCGAGGTGTGTACTGCATCTATTTTTGCATGCATTCCCTGTTTGAAATCCTGCATCTCTTTTGATATTTCATTTCTGTGTTCTTTAAATTTCTAATCCATTTCTTACTTTAATTCTTGAGTCATTGCCTCCAGCATCTCTTAGATATAGTGTTTGTCTTCTATTCCTGCTTTGCTTCCATTGGAGCTCTCCCCACTAGGTGGCTGCTGGCTTTTGGGGGTAGCTTGGTATCCTGGGTATTGATAAATCTTGTAATTTTCTGTTATTTTTGCATGGGGGTTCGGGGATCCTGGAGACTAATCTGAAACTGACTCTTTTGGTCAATAGGTGGCTGTCTTTGCTTGGTTCTGGGTTGGTTCCTGGATCAATTGATGAAGCTCACTCTTGGCCCTTGGTTGGCTGAGAGAGTCTGTACCTGGTCTTGGTTCTGTTGGGAGAGAGGCTGACCTCCAGCTGCTAGTCTGAGCCACATAGGGCAATCAGCTGTCTGCTGGAGATCACAGGCATTTCCCACCTTTAGTCAAGGACTGAGCAGCCTAGACTGTTCATACTCCTACAGGTGCTCTTGGAGACATTGGGTGTGCTGGATGTACTCTCCCAGGTGTTGGGAGTCCGCTGTGAGTTACTTACTTTAATCAGGTTGGTGGCCTTAGCTGTCCAATCCTCAGCCTGGGATATACAGGTCAGGTTCTCTGTTTGGGTTTGGATTTCTGGTTCTCCCTCCCTGGACACACAGGCCTTTGCCATCATGGGCACAATTCCCAAGTGGTGCGGTTCCCTGCTTTCCCCCCTCTGCTGAGGCATGTGCTCAGTTTCTGACTTCAGTTGGGATGGGTGGGTTGTACAGCTCAGACACTGATCCCCAGGCCTGGCCCTGGCTCCTGGCCCCCATCTGGGGCATGCCTATGGACCTGTGGTGCTGGGTATCCTGCTCAGGGTACACAGCCTGGGGTATGCAGTTTGGATTTCTTCTGCTGTTGGCTGCTGTGGCCTTAGGACACTGTTCCAGGCTTGGGTGTTTAAACTCCCTTCCAGGGGTGATCTTGATCTGTCCTGGCTGGCTGGATGTGCTCCACGAGCTGGTGGGGCCCTTGAACAGTTCCCAGTTTTTGTTAGACCCGTAGTCCAGGTGGGGGGGTGGGAGGGAGGGTCTGAGTCAAGCTCTGGGTGTTACCATCAGCACTGGTCTCCCTTGGGGAGGGGGGGTACACTGTCCCCTCTAGAGTACTTACCCTGGAGCTGGTTGGGAACTCTCCAGCCGTGTTGTGGCAGATCACTGTTTTTGTGCGATGTAGGTCGCTTGTTGCCACAGTGCTCTCAGATGCTTGTGGGCTGGGCCAGGTAGTGACCGCTATAGGTCATTGTGTCTCTCCATCTCTGCCTCTGTTGATGCTGTCCAGGTTGGCGCTGTGGGCATTTTTTGTGCTGGCCACCAGCAGAGGGGTAGGGGAGGGGTATTCACACAGGTTCTGAGCTCCGAGGTTTTTGGCTCTGTTTGTGCTCTCTGGGTTAGCCCCCGCACCTTGGGAGTCTAATGCACTGGCTTTCTGCGAATGGACCCCTGTAATTCTAGGGTTCCCCCCTCAGCTGTGAGGCTGACTGGTTTTGGCAGGATGGGGCGGCCTCAGTCCAGTGAAGGGTAAGGGAAAGGTCTCTGTGTAGGTTCCAAGCTCCAAGGTTTCTCTGTTTGCAATCAGCAGGTCCAGAACTGGCACCAGCACCAGCATCTTGGGCATCTTCTGTGCTGGCATTCTGGAGAGAGCTGTGGTGTTTCCCTACTGTCCTGTCGCCATCTTGGCCCCATCTTGGCCCCCCTCCCCTAAAAACACTTCTATTCATGTTATGTGTTGCTGGTAGTTTTACTCTTTTCCACTAGGTGGTGCTAAGGAATTAGTTTGCTTTTAGTTTAAATCTACCATTAGCAACCAGATCTTGGAAGTAGACAAAGCTTGCCTTTTTATCTCTTAATAGCACTTGCCTATAGTGATAAAATTAATTCTGAGCTCTGTGACACTGACTCAAGCTACTAGCACTAAGTCTTTTAGCTACTTAGAAAGCTGAGACATGGAGGATCAAGGTTTGAAGCCAGCCGGAGCAGAAGAGTACTCAAGAGTCTGTCTCAAATTCATGAGCAAAAATGCGAGAGTAGAGGCATGGTTCCAGTAGTAAAGTATTAGCCATGAGCAAAAAGCTGAATGAGAGCTCTAGGCCCTGAACTCAAGGCCCAGAAGTAGCATTTCAAAAGAGTAGTAAAGGAGGAATATTGAAAGGAAAAAAAAAGGCCTGATCTGGCCTTTTACAGCATTTATTCATGGTAGTGAAAGATGATGAAGTAAAAAATGTCAGTTAATATAAAGAAATGAAGCAAGTAAATAAAGAATTGACATAATTTATCAAGGGTGTTAAAGGATATATACTTTTAAATTCAGTCTTGGAAGTTTTTCTGGTTAAAATGTTCTTGGATGTGGGAATCTGAGAGAAGCCAGATTATTATAATCATTTAATAAGCTTGCTCATTTATATAACCATAGTTAGAATTGTTTGTTTCTTTGTTTTCTGTTGGTCGTGGGGCTTGAAATCTGGGCCTGGGCTCAAGGTAAGTGCTCTACCACTTAAGTCACAGTGTCAATTATGGTTTTCTGGTGGTTAATTGGAGAGAAGAGTCTCATGGACTTTCCTTGTCTGGCTTTGAGCTGTGATCCTCAGTTCTCGACCTCTTGAGTAGCTAGAATTATAGGCTTGAGTCACTGGCACCCAGCTGTCATAAATGATTTTTAAGATGCTACTTTCTGTGAAACATACTCTATAATATAATTTTCTATCTTAAATGGAATACTGGTGTCTTTTGTTTTTTAACATCAGTGAACTCAGTGTTTGGTGTTAGTGAGGTCAGTTTCAGAAGCAGTTCTACTAAAAGTCTTAATAATTTTATATATTTTCTTATATCCCAACTTTTAGAACAGTTGAATCTAAGAATTAGAAACTTTAGAGCAAAGAAGTATAAGAAACACTGGATTAGTAGAGTTGGTACAGAAGGAATCTGAGGTCTCTAGCCCCTGTAGAGATCACACTGTGCTGTTGCGTATTTAAGGTTCTGAGGTCAATAATATAAGAACCTATATAACCTGAACATTGTTTCCCATGAGTTTGCAGCCACGGGCCCTGTTTGTGAAACACATATTACACAAGAAAGCAGCTGCCTTAGGAACATCAAAAACTTGATTATTGGCCATGAGCAGTCTTTGACTATTAAATAATCCCTTTGTGTTTATTGCTGATTTACATTAGATTTTCTGACAATATTTCATTAAAATTGAGTATGAAATTGATAGTTGTATACTAAATAATTATATATATTTACAGGATATAAATACAGAATATATTACAGAACATATAATTATATAGTTACAGAATATAAGTATATTCTGTAAAAGTTGAAATATCTGTGGTAATGTTACAATTTTTAAACTTTATTTTTAAAACAAATGCAGGATTCATCTCAGGAAGACAATCAGAATAGAGATTTCCAAAGACTAAGCATTTCAAGGTATGTACAGTCTTCAGTATTAAAATAATGCATGTTTTCTTCAACAGTACTCTTTCTGTACCTAGATTACTATTATGATTTAACTTTTAAAGTATATACTATTTGGATATTGATTATAATCTTTAGCATAATATATTTATTTAAAAAATAAGCAACAGTTACATAATAGCACAATTAGTAATAGAAAGGTACATATTGTACTCTCAAGTTTTCTGAACATTAATATTTTAAGTTTTAAAGAATTAACCATGTGGAAGCTTTTTGTAATAAACTTTATTTAAGAAAACTTTTCCTTCTTAGCTGTCAGCGTTCATGTGTGAATTGCTTTAGATACCTATTTTTACCAAAAACTTGCTTGAGGGAAATGATCAATTAGGGAAAACAGTTTGAGGAACTGACAGCTATTCTTTAAATCAGGTTGAGCAAACGCTTTCTATAAAATCCTAAACGTTTTAGTCTCTGTTGCAATCATTCAGCTTTGCTGCTTTAACGTTTCAGTTGTGCCTTCAGAATACATTTAGTACAATGTCATGCAAATGTTTTCTTAAAGATAATCTTGGTTAAAATTACCTTTTCTCCTTTCAGCATAGGTTTCCCTATATTGAGTTTTACTTGTCATTTTTATAAGCCAATTCAAGTCAATTTTGCAAAGAATGAGAGACTTAAGACATTAGAATCAGTGGTTGAAATAAAGGGGCTACATAGTGTATTAATTATGCCTGCTGTAGAATAGGAATGGGTTGCCATTGATTAGAGATTACCTGAAACTCTCTTGAAAAGTTGCTTGCCTAAAAAAAATAACTTGGAGCCCAGCACTGATAGCTCATGCCTGTAATTTTAGCTACTGAGGCTGAAATCTGAGGCTCACGGTTCAAAGCCAGCTCGGGCAGAAAAGTCCGTGAGACTCTTTATCTCCACGTAACCACTAGAAAACTGGAAGTGGCCCTGTGGCTCAAGCGATAGAGCACTCGCCTTGAGCTGAAGAGCGCGGGGATAGCGCCCAAGCCCAGAGTTCAAGCCCCACAACCACCAACAACAACAAAAAATACCTTGCGAGGCATGACAGGATAGAGAACAGTTTCATAAAGAATTGATCTAAATTCAGTCTAAAAATTAGTTTGTGCTAAAACTATTCCATACAGTTTTGTATTGGGAAGAACTGTTCAAATAAAGCATCTTCTGCTGATGGTTACCACTTGGTGTGCATAAGTATACTTGTGAATTCCTGCAGCTTGTTTTGCAGTTCCCGATTAGGTTACTTCCTTAGCAGGTAGAAAACTTGTATCCAAATTTGTGTGCTACCTTTGGTAAATGTTATATGTATATTTTTATGTTAACTTCAGTCTTAATGATATTTTCCTCCACTCCATCATATACCTATTTCCTGTCCGTATTTTATTAATCTTTATAAGTGACCTATCTTTTTTGGCCGTTTTTGTTTTTTTGGTTGGTTTTGTTTTTGTTTTTTGTACTGGGTTTGAATTCAAAGCTTCACACCTCTACCACATGAGCCACTTTCCCAGCCCTTTTTAAATAAGGTATTTTCAGAGATAGTCTCCCTTCATGCCTGGGCTAGCCTGGACCTCAGTCTTCCTATTTGTGCCTTTCCCCATGTAGCTAGAATGGCAGGCACACACTTCTAAGTTCAACCATTGGTTGTGAGAGTCTCATAAACTTTTTGCTCCAGCTGGCCTCAAACTGATTCCCTAATCATCACCTCCCAAGTAGCTACCAGTCTAGCTCTCACCATTTTTAAATGGAACAATTCAGATAATAAATTGTTTACTGCATTAGGAAAAAGTACATGGCAATATTTCCACAAAACCACAAGCCAATGGTGTAGGTATTTTTAAGAATTATTTGGAAAGTTCCCTTAAAAAAAATTTCCTCTACCATATTGCCGGGCCAACAAGGTAGTACTAAATAGTTTCTTTAACATCTTCCTTTCTTTCTTCCTCCCCGCCCCCCCAGGAGATTTTAACTCAGGGCTATCCCTGGGTGCTATTTTAACTGGGTGCTATCCCTGAGCTCTTTTGCTCAAGGCTAGCTCTCTTACTACTTTGAGGCTCAGCTACACTCCCGGTTTTTGAGAGCTAACCTTGAAAAGTTCCAGTGAGACTCTTAAGCTCCATTAAACCACCAGAAAACCGTAAGCAGGACTTTTCTGCCTAGGCTGGCTTCAAAATGTGATCCTCGGATCTCAGCCTCCTGAGTAGCTAGGATTACAGATGTGAACTAGATCATTACTTTTAATTAGTGGATAAATTATATGATAGTCTGTGTTAAAAAAAAAAAGAAAGAAAACAGTGAAAAATAATAAGCCCAATCAGAAATGTTAGTCATTGTTCTGCTTTTTTTGGTAACGGCTTTAGGTTGATCAGTTAAGTTTTTAAAACAGATCTAGGTATGGAAGTGTATTTCTTTTGCTTATTATTTAAATTTATGTTGTGGGACTATATTATAAATGATATCTTAAAATGTAAGTCCCTAGTTAATACTGTGTAGATTAGCTTAGTGTTTTTAGCTTCTTTGTATTAACTTTAGTGATAGAGAAATTTTCTAAGTTTAATAGGCATTTTAAAAATACAGAATAAAGCAAATCTCCAGACTCACACCTATAATCCTAGCTACTAAGGAGGCTGAGATGTGAGGATTGCAGGTTGAAGTCAACCCAGGCAGGAAAGTCCATGAGACTCTCATCTCTAATTAACTACCACAAAGCCAGAACTTAGCTCACGTGGTAGAATGCTAGCCTTGAGGAAAAAAAGTTCAGGGACAGTGCCCAAGCCCTGAGGTTCAAACCCCAGGACCAGCACACACACACAAATAAGTGTGGAATAAAACAATAGAATATATCAGAATATATAACATATACTAGAGAATATATTACACATAGTAGGGCCAAGTATGGTGTATTTGTAACTTTTTTATTTTTAGTTGAAATGTAAAATGCTCATTACTTAATATATAGTCAAAAATATTTGAAAGACATTTAGGGGAATCACAGTTGTCAAAAATGACATTTTTATAGCTCTTATCTAATATACTATATCTTTATTTCGTTTGATGGACTGTAATGCTTTTCAAAAGGTAAAGAGAATTCTGAACAGCTAAAGTAAAAACTCAAGTATTTTTTCTTTATACAAGGAACATTTATTGGAGTTGAAGCCAGGTGCCTGTGTCTCATGCCTGTAATCCTAGCTACTCAGGAGGTTGAGATCTGAGGATTGCAGTTCAAAGCCAACCCAGGCAGGAAAGTCCGTGAGACTCTTCTCTCTAATTAACCACCAGAAAACCAGAAGTAGTGCTGTGGCTCAAGTGGTAGAGCGCTAGCCTTGAGCTGAAGAGCTCAAGGACAACGCCCAGGCCCAGATTTCAAGTCTCATGACCAGGGGAAAAAAAAAAAAAGAGTTGAATATGTATTATGATTTAAGAACTGGACAGTTTTATTCTATAACCTATAGGGGAAAAAAAAAAAAGAGTTGAATATGTATTATGATTTAAGAACTGGACAGTTTTATTCTATAACCTATAGATTACAGAAATATATAATTATATAATCTATAGGTTTATCATGTATTATCTAATATAATGTATTTCATGTATTACATTTTTATATAATTCCATAATTATAGTTCCTATTGTCAAGACAAGTAACCCTTATTTGAAATGCAGAGAAGCAAGTCTTCATAATATTTAAGTTAGAGGTAGGAAATTTTATAATGGAGGGCTGAAAAGCTTGTGTGTTGACAGTCTACATAATTATAGGTGTTTGTAAGTGGATAATGACAAGAAGAAGAAAACTCCGAAAAGGGGAGTGATCAGTGATTACACAGGACAGATAAAAGCTACCTTTAAAAAACAACCTTGTAGCTGGGCACTGGTGGCTCATGCCTGTAAACCTATCTACTCAGGAGGCTGAGATCTGAGGATCGCAGATCAAAGCCAGCCCAGGCATATAAAATGAGTTTATCTACTTCGTCAAATTGGTATGAGAATGTGGATGAAGTGCCTAGCACATAACAAATGCTCAACTATGATTACAGTTTCTAAGTTTCAATATTCTAGTATTTATGTAAATATATTAATAGGATTTTGCTCGTGTTCTTCAAGCAGTAGTTGAAGTCCACAGTCCTAGTTTTGGTAAATTAGCATGAAGTGACATATAGTCTAATCATTCAGTCTCAAAAATACTTGGATAAAACACTCAGTAACTAAGTAACAGGGTTTTGGTGAACCTCACTAAAAATTTTATAACAACTTAACTTTTCAAATCTCAATTAATGGTAGCAATATTTTGCTCAGGAATATTGAATTTAAAATATTTTTTACACGCTTGGAATAGCGTATAGCAGGTAGCACTAACTACAGTTAATTTTATTATCCACAAGAGGGAGAACTTACACTGTGTAATAATTGTTAGCTTTTTTTTTTTTTTTTATGTAGTTCAATTCAGGTGACATTAGGGCAGAAGACAGATTTTGTGTCAGTCTCAGTGACCTAGTTTTCATCTTAATTTTTTAAGCAGTTATTAAATTGGATTGAAAATGTATTTTCAATTACTGTTTCTAAACACTTTTATAATTGTTTCTCTTTTATTTTACATGCTTAGCTGTTTTAAATGACTAGTCTTGGTATTTCATTCTCCAGACACAATCATAGGTATTTTATTTTCTCCAATACAGGTACTGATTTGCCATCTTAAAATTGCCAATACTAAACTATTTTCAAGTTGCATTATTTGTATGATACACAAATCCTGTCTAGGAATTAGCACATATACAGAATTTATACGTACTTAAGTTATTCCTTGGGAAGCATGCCTAGATTTGTACCAAAGAATCAACAATATTCTTTACATTGAAACAAATGTGAAATATTCATTTAACAATCATCTGAGATATTTACTGGTAAAATAGTGGTGGTTAGTGAACTTCGGTGAAGTAACTATTTCACACCTGTCAAAACTCCTGCAAAAGCCCTATATTTTCTAATATACAAAAGGTTAACTGATGACATTTGTGATAGACTTACACAAGCAGATTTTTCTCTAAGGCACTATAAAGTTTATTGTGCTACTGCATTAAAGAATTACAAGCTGAGGAGTATTTTGACCTTACATAATTCAAAATATTTGTTTTCAAATATTTCTTCTATAATGAATAGATTAGATTTAGACTGGGAAGAGTTATCCCCTTGAAGTTTGAAGTTTTTGTTTACAGCTGGATAAAAATTGAAGGGCCAAATGACCACAGAGAAGGCCATACTAAAGCTAGCAGCACAACTATGTTCATTGCAGCATCATTTACCATAGCTAAGATATGGAATCAACCCAGATGCCCCTTAATAGATGAATGGATCATATACACAGTGGGATTCTATGTGTTCATCAGAAAGAATGACATCACTCCATTCATAATGAAATGGAAAAACTTCAAAAAAAATCATATTAAGTGAAGTGTGCCAGACCCAAAGAAACATAAGAAATACAGGCTCTATTCTTAGCAGAGGATCACAAAGGATCAAAAGTGATGTGGATATGATCATATAAAATGATGCTTATAGAAATGCCAAGAAATGGAAGCAAGAAGTTTTTCTTATTGTACTGTTTGCATTTATTTCTCCACTACCACCCCCCCACCTTTTTGGTTTATTCCCCATTACCACTACTTTTGATTTCTGTACCTTTTGTCTTGTATATGTTTATCTGATTTGAGAACGAAAAGGGAATCACAAACACTGAGACAAATGGTGAACCAGTGCAACAGTGATACTCACTAGACATAATGTTGGAAATGAACTTTACAACTTGGGAGAGAGGAGTGGAGAGAGAGAAAAGGAGAGAGAGGGTAACACTGTTCAAAAAGAAATGTACTCATTACCTTACTTATGTAACTGGAATCCCTCTGTACATTACCTTTGCAATAAATTTTTAAAAAATTGAAGGGCTGGGAACATGGCTCAAGTGTATGGTACTGTCTTTAACCTAGCATGCTCAAGGCCCTGGGTTCCATCTCCAGGATGGAAAAGAAAAAGTTTGAAGCATGAGGTGACATGTTTGCTTACTTTGCAAATTCTGATGGCAATAATGGTTGTTCAGTACTATATTATCAGTTATTTTATGTTTAATATTTGTGCAAAGCAATTTGAGAATATGTGCTTAAGATTCATTTAGTTGGAAATTAAGAACATAAGAAAACCATGAATATAAGAATGCTTTTGGAAAATAAAACCCTTTAAAGTGTAGAAATAACTTATAATTCCTTAGTGAAGTAAAATGCTTTTAAAAAAACTGAGAGACATATCTTTGAAGTTTTCATTTCTGTTTCATATAATCCTCCTGCTGTAGTTTCTTTTTCCTTATGAGGAAATCATCGGGCTCTCCATGTCTTGTGCTGTCTGTCATATCACATTGTTTAGAACCAACAATATGAGACAACCCAGTCAAACATAAAGAACGTAATATATGAAATCTAAATTTTATTTTAATGTAGACTTGGTGTATATATTCAGCAACTGATACATCATTTCAGTTCACAATATCAAATAATCAAAAAGATAAACAGAAAAATTTAAATCCACATATGAATGAATGTAATTTTATTCTTGATCAGATTTGCAAAGAAAGAACATATTCCTTTCTGCTTAATAATTATATTGACACCACTGTACCATTATAGACTTTAGTCTTGGTTCTGAGGAAAGAAACTAAGAAACTAAACAGTAATAAGATATTCATTATAATCTATTTAATGTAGTTAATTGCTTAAAATCAGGACAACATTCTTAGGTCTTTTCACTTAACATCCTAATTAAGTAGCTTTCAGTTGTTTAATTTACATCATCATGAAACTAATTGCAACAAAAATATAAATCTGCTTATTTCTATTTTAAACTTGCTCCAGCTTAAAAGGATGAGCATTAACTTTTTAAAAACAAAAACATTCTATTTTAGTGATAATATGCAACATACATACTGGGAATTGAAGAAAGAAATGTCTAATTTACATCTGGTGACTCAAGTACAAGCTGAGATACTAAGAAAACTGAGAACCCCAACTGGAATCAAAAAAGGCAAGTCAAACTGTTGACAGAGCAACTACCTACCTTATCAAAATCTCATCAAATGAGTTTTCATTAGTGGAAGTGTGTATATAGTATGCCTTCCCATTCTCTGCTCTAGCTTCAGTCTCATGCTGGTCAACTTCACACATAAAGGTGTTGCTGATGTGTTTTTTCTTCAATACTGTATTCTTTTCCCCTTGTGGCTTTTCTCAGCCAAGTGTTGCTTATGTGTGTAAAACTGAGGTGTTAAGTTTGTTCTAGTTGACCTTTTACCACAACTGTTTTGTATATTTCTAAAAAGAAATGCCAAAAGCATTGTTTTATTTCAGTGCTATAGAATATACCCAAGACCTAGCTTTTCAAGTTGTTTTCAAAACAACAACTTTGATTCATTTAGTTGTTTGAATTTTTGTAAACTTTTTTCATAAAAAGATAGCTGATTTAGAAGATAGGCAAGCTGCATTCCCCTTCTTACAACCAAACAAAAATTTTTAGTGCCTTGACTTTATATTTTACTGCTTGACTGACTAAACTTTTTGTATTTTGTGTTTTTTTTATTGGCTACTTGGCAAAACTATTTTTGGAGAATAATTAGGGCGTTTGTATTTAGTATTACATAATAGGTTTATTTCTAAAATCTGTATACCATTAAGTTTGAATGTCCTACCATTTACTGAAGAATTAAATAAAATGAAATGACTTAAAAATAAAAGTAATTGTTACTAGCACTTCATATCATTCTAAAGAGAGCACCAGAGAATCGTTTTATAAATAGCCCTTCTCAGGAATATTTATAGAAACTTGCACATTAGGCAGGAAATTTGAATTCAGAATTCCTTTCAGTTTTCTGGAAAGTTGGTTATGTCTGAGTCAGGCAAAGGAACATTGTATTTAGCAAGCATAGCTTAACTTACAGTGCACTTTGTCCTTGAGTTTTCCAGAGGTCATAGTGAAAGGGAAATAAAATTGTGTGTGTGTGTGTGTGGTAGAGATGAAGGGATAGCTAAGCTATTTTGGAATAAAAGGAAAAGAAGAAAAGTTCTTTAAACAAGTGGTTCACCTTATGTTCCTTTTTAGCTGGTTAATACATCTTAGGATGCTTTGGATGATAAATCTAGCAGAACATTTCCTTTGATAGTGGCAAGTACAAATTTACTTCTTACTAGGACTCCTTGTTTTGAATAGATCACTGTTTCCCTGACCTATAAATTACTTTTGTCCGGACCAGAGGCTAATCATTATTACATCCAGTTCTCCCCACTCTTATGGACTCTCCCAAGGAAACAAGCAAACAAAATAAAATCACACTATTTTATAGTTCTACTTCCTTTCTTCTAAAATTCTACAATCAAGCCTTACTTATATTTACCCATCCTTGGACTAACAATAAAATTTCCCTTTCTTTCATGGTAGGTTGAGTGAGAAGTGCAAAGGAGACACACCCATATTACCAGAGTGCTGGCTGCAGCTAAAGGAACAGCAGCTTTACAGCAGGCAGTCTTTATTCTAAGCCACTGGTGAAGCACTTTATGATAAACACTTTACCACTTTTTGTTTGACCTATATAGTGACCACAACAGAATTTACATTTGCTTCTAGGTATTTTATTAGAAATAAAATTTACAACTTATACTTAAGCTCTTACCCATAAAAGCCTTTGAATGTTGACTCAAACATAATTGTTTCTGAAAAGCTTTACTTTTGTAGAACCTCTTATAGATGGTTTGAATTTTTAAAAATAGTATTTTTAATGAAAATATGCTAAAATCTTAACTTTCTCTATCCCCATTCACATATAAGTGATCTGTAAGCTTCCATAAGCCACCTATAATCTAGGGCCAAGAACAAGATCTGGTAGTTTATTGGCTTGTAGCTTTTTAAAATATGTGATTCTTCATCTTTTAACAGTTTTATGACATAGAATAGGCTAACACTCCGAGAGACTGAGCTTAATTCAGTGTTAGTAAATAGCTGACATAGAACTCAGATCATCCGTTACTTGTCATAAGCCGCAGTGCCCCATTGAACATACTGATTTGGAAAGGTTAATTATCAGTTCCAGAGTTCAAATCAGTGGAATGCTGTCATATTTTATGATCAGTGCTATGAAAACTGACATTAGCCTCTCTTTTCTTTCTGTGGTTTAGCTTGTGCTCCAGTAGGATGTGCTGAAGACTTTGGGAAAGACAGCACTAAATTATTCATGACGAATTTCACTGCAACATACAAAAGTCATCCCCCTCTCTCACCAAATGGCAAATCTATTGTATCATCCCCTTCACCAGGAGATATAAAAGTCTTATCAGAGAAAGCATTTCTCCAATCATGGACAGATAATGAGAGATCCATTCCTAATGATGGCACAGAATTTCAGGAGCACAACTCTTACGGCAGAAATTCTCTAGAAGATAATTCTTGGGTTTTCCCAAGCCCACCTAAATCAAGTGAGACAACATTTGGGGACACAAAAAATAAAACTTTGCTTCTACCCAACCTTCCACCATTGCATTACCTGGATCAACATAACCAAAACTGCCTTTATAAGAATTAATGCTGAAGAGATTCATAATTTGATCACAAAACCTCTTCCAGTGGTTCTTTTAAGAGATTATTTGACAAAATGGATTTTGACTTAAATTTTGCAGAGTTCTTCAATATGTATATTTGGACATACTGTATAATATGTAGCTGATTTTCCTTTATGATAGAGCACCCTCTAGCTCCATGTTCAAAAAATCAAAGTATGATATTGCATAAACTAATAAACCTGAGGTGTTTCAAAGACACTTCTGCCTTTAATAAAATTCTGAAATTTTGCTTCTCAGATAAAAATGGGAAATACAAATTTCTAGACAGTTTTATGAAGTATGTGAAATACTAAATACTAAAATAAAATGAAGCCTTTTAGAAGAAAAACTGCATGCTGGATGAAAACGCATAAAGAAGCAGATGGTACTGTGAATAGGTTCTATTTCTGTTGTCGATAATACATAAAGAAGTATAGTGGATAAAATAGGATATTCTATCCGCTATTGTTTCAAATCATTTTTAGTCACAAAGCAGATAAAATTTTAGAATTACAATTTGTACTCATAAAATTTGAAATAACCATTGAAGCCAACTTTGTCCCAGTTCATTCAAGTCCTAAATTAAAAAGATGAAATAATCTGACATGTGGAAAACTAATACATAACCCAACACTCAATTAGTAGTATATTAGTATAGTCTGTCCTTTCAGTAGTCCATAATGAATAAATGCAACTGAATAATTTTCCATAAAGAGAATATAGCTGCTTGTTATGTAGAACAGATAATAGGTTGCTTTGTTTGAATGTAGTATTTGAGAAAGCTATTTTTAATAATTAAAGTTTCCTTGTAAAACTACATTTTTGTACTGTATTGATATTGTTAGGCTCATGAAATGTCCCAAAATTCATTCATTTGTAAATAAGGAAACAACAAAGGATGGCTTCAAATGGAAACTTTTGTAAATTCCTTCAGGGTAGAAGAATTAAGAATATCGGTAATAATTATTTGATTCACACACCTGGGATATTCCTGGAATATAGTGTTTAATATAGAAGAACTCAATCCATTTTTATAGGCAGTTTCATATAGCTTCGACTCGAATATCTCAGATTTATTGTATTACTGAATAGATAGTATACATAGACAATGTTCAGTTACCAGATATTGTTGTCTGTTACCTTCACTTGTCTGTGATTGATTGAATTGATATCAGATGCTGGAACTTACTCTGACTCTAGGGAGTACAATCTACTGCCAAGTAATGGAACAAAACCTAATATGCATAAAATAAGTAACAGACTCTGTGTGTTAGCTGAAGGAAGCAACCACCTGTGTAATAAAGCAGCAAAAACTATTTCTCATGTTGCTGCATAGGCTGAGCATTATCTCTAATCTCTAATGTAGCTAGTTGTTGGTTTGCCTTTTTAAACACCAACATTGGAAATATTCCTTTATAAATTAAGTTTTATGGACTAGCTTAATGTTTTAAACAGTACTAAGAAACTAATTATTTTTCTCTGAAATAGAAGTGGTTGTAAAATATTGTCATGGCCTGTATAATCCAAATTGGGATATTAAGACTAATATGAGAAAACATCTGTCTTATTATTGTTTAGAGGGAGCAAATTCCCTCTGAACAACAGGGTATACTTATCAAAGATCAGTAAATAATGTTCTTGACAGCTTATAAAATGTTAAATGATACATAAGATTCCATAGTTAGATTAACTCAAAGTTTATCTAACCAGAATTTTTATATATCTGTATAACAAGAATTTCTGTTCTCATAAAGATTCAGAATCAATCCTACTTATTTAAAATTGGAAATTCAATGCTGATCTTTTTCATACTAGTTGCAACTTATTCCACAGTGTCCCTTGGAAATTTCTTTAATCTTGAGATCACTTTTTGTAAGATAATCCAATTCAGCAATATGAAAAAACACATAGCAAAAATTAGTCACCTTCCTCTTGATCCCAAGCCTGAGGTAACACATGTCTAAAAGGAGATTACTTTAATGAGTTGCTTCCAAAGTGCAATGGCATTCTTCATGTGAAACAAAAACAACATAAATAGGGGGAAATTCAGATTTAACAGGGCTAACCTGAATCAAGGGACAGGACGAGCTACAGAAAAACTACTCTAAAAAAGGTAAGTCTTGTTAAGTATATTTTGTACATAACTGAAGTTGAACACTGTGAATTAAAACAGTCACAGATTTTATATTTCACTAGCTTCCTTGAATTTTCCTAGTTTGAGTCATTAAAAATGACAACTGTTTGGTGTCAGAATGGCTTATGCCTGTATCCTCCCGGTAACCTGAAGGACAGTGTTTTGGTTAAAGCCAGTCTGGGCAGAAAAATTTACCAGACTATATATCTCCAAAATAACCAGCAAAATTAGGGCTGGAGGCATGGCTCAAGTGATAGAGTACCAACAGAGCAAGCCAGCCAAACCACTGTGAGACATTGATAACAATCCTCAGTACCACTAAGAAAAGAGGAAAGAAACAACTCTGTCTTAGGAAATGCTAGTATCAGTGGGACAATGGAGGAACACATGTTCTCCCTTGTGTTGTGCAATCTGCTTTTGCTTTGCTTTTATCTGCTGGTAATCCTTTTGGTGTGTGCCTGTGGAAAACATGGTTTCTTATATTTCTAATGATAGTAAAACATCTGAATATACACAAAGTATGGAACTTGACCATCTATTGCTTATACTGCTTCTTTGGGTTCCAATTTCTTTCAAGTTCTTTATAATATCAAGGCCAAAAATAAATACCTGAGTTGGTAATACTTCATGGTTTTAAGGACTATGTGAAAATATACATAGTTTACTAACGTTAAACTAGTTATAGATGTTTAAGAGCTAATAGCTTATGGAAAAAAGAACAATATAAAAGCTCAGACTGGACCCAAGTTATTGCATTGGGCACTATATTACAAAATGCTAGTTCACATTTATACAAAAAACTTGTTGGTAGTTCTAAGAATTGACTCAGGGCTTCATGTTTGCAAGGCAGGTGCTCTACCATGTGAGCCACACCATCAGACCTAAAAGAACTTTTTTAAATGAAAGATAAAATTTCCATCAAAGGTGGCAGTACTTATTTAGGGCTAATAGGGTTGCTGTTCAAGTGGTAGTTGCCCAAGTTCAATCTCCAGTATCACTGAAGATTAAAATAAGTAAACAGAAACATTTTTTTTTTTTTTTGATCCAGTGGTGGGGGATGAACTCTGGGCCTGGGTGCTGTCCCTCAGCTCTTCAGCTCAAGGCTAGCGCTCTACCACTTGAGCCACAGCGCCACTTCCGGCTTTTTTTCTTTTTGCTTATTTGGTGCTGCCTCAGGCATGCAAGGCAAGGGCTCTACCACTGAGCCACCTTCCTAGCCCAACAAAAACCTTTTTTGAGTACTTAGGTTTCCAATTAAGCTTTTACTATTATTAATAAATGTCATATAAAGAGTGTGTACTATGTCTGAAGCTCTGTCCTGTATATTCTATATACATATATATACACACACACTATATATATTACATATATAAATTATGTAGTATATAGTATAGTATATATATATATATATACTATATAGATATATATAGTATATGTACTACATATAGTATATACATACTATAGTATATATACTATATAGTATACTATTTATAGTATACTAGATATACTATATATAGTATACATACTATATATAGTATCTATCTTTATCTATATATATACTTGCAATATCAAGTAAATCCTCATAACTTTATTCCACACTTAATTCATGTGGCAGAACTGGGAAAGATTCTGGCTCATAGGCATCTTGCTATGCTGCCTAATCACTAATACCTTTGAAGGTTGTTTTCTACTACTTTTACTACCTTTAATACTTTTGATTCCCCATGAATAGCTGATATATTGGAAGATGGTAGTATCTGTATGGAACCCTGAAAATCATTCCTTGTAGGAAAATATGTGAAAAATCCAGAATGCCAGGAAGACCATCTGTACTTATTCTTATGCCGTATTTAATAAACCAAAACTCTGAATTAAAGTCTTTATTTCATATAAAAATATTTCCATAATTAGAACAAAGCAAGCAAATTCTGAAGTTCATTATTTCGTATGACTTATAAATCATCTCCATAAATATGTGTTGCTAATTCACTGAACAATTTGTCTACATGCTTGTGGGAAGCTTCTGCAGCCTTTTCTTGGTAGGAATACCGGTATTTCTGTATTCTTCCCTTTCCTTCAGATACTCCATTTTGCATTCTTCATAAAAGGCTGGATCACTATAGCTAAAGAAGGAAATGAAAATCTTTAAAGGTTAATCACCGTTGTAAACAACATAAGTTTTAACACTAGTCAGACATCTAGTCCATCAGATTTAATCATCAATATTAGATTGTAGACAGTATCAAACTAGTATAAACAATAAAGGCCTATAGGCTTTTTAAGCCTTATTTGTAACAGATGCAAATTCTACCTATCTAATCAATGTCCATATACAAACACCACCATCCTGGGCTAGAACAGTGAGAAACACAGCACCTTTCCTTAAGGAGGCCATACTAATATATCAGGCAAGTAAAGATATTCTACATTGAAAGTATTCTTGGCATACTATGGGGCCCCATGCATCATGAAAACACAAGGGAGAAATAGGAGAAAAAGCTGAGATGTACTTTTCACTAACAGAAATTCACATAAAAGGAAAAACATTCATGAAGAACTGTACCACTATACAGAGGATGGTGCACAGAACAGGAAGGATCTGAGGTGTGAAGTGCATACAGTATTCCATTTCATGCTGTACTAAGGTGGCAGCATGATTAACAGCAAATTTAAGATCACTTTTGTCTTAATAGCATGTGGAGGTAGGCTAAAGGAGCAGCAAGGTTAGAAACAGGATGTTCAATAAACTACTAAATAATCCATACAAGACATGATGCTTAGGCCATAGGAGGAGGTAACAGAAATGAAAGGGAAAAATATTTGTTGAAATTTAGGAAATCACCAATTATAGTTAGGAGATAGGACAGCAGATTTTGGACAACCATATGAGAGGAGCAAAAAGCTGCCAAATTCAGTTTGGTACCAGAAAAAAGTATGAAAATCTATGGAGAAGTAAATGGGAAATGGGAAAGCATCATCAGGGAAATCAGAAGTGGACTTTGAGCCCATTAGAGAAAGCCTTTAGAATCCGCAGTTTTCATTCAGAAATGAGATCACAGTACATGGAAATGATAGAAATAAAGGAGTACAAATTATTAACATGTCAAAATGTTACAATCAAGTGAAGAGGAAGTGTGGTAATGTTCAATTGTTGGAAAGTAAAGCAAAGCAGAACATTTTCTTATTTGAAGATAAAATATAGATCTAATTAGTGCATTTCAAAAAAGAGCCAGCCTACTCTGCTTTAGGCATCAAGGTAAATGTGTTTACATACACAGTAGCTCCAATCACTCCAGAAAGAATTCTCTTTTTTTTGTAAGAAACCTATCCTAGGTCGCAAGGCTAAAGCTGAGCTCTTCTGACCCAGAAGCAGAGCCAGGGCTGCCCTCTCGGTCCCCTCTGCCCTTCCCTCGCTGCAGGAAGGGACACTAAGTTGAACTAAGAGCATGTTATTTTCAAGACTGAATCAGTGATTAAAAAAAAACTATCAATATATAAACAAATTTTGGACACAAAAGTTTAAATTTCTCTTTAATGTCAACGGAAACAAACAGAAATCACCATTCTGAGTTTACCTGACCCAAATCCTGTAGCACTAATCAGTAAACAGTGTGAAAAGCCTTTTCAGTAGCTTTTTTTCCTAAAAAAGCAAAATTGCCCCTAACCTCTACTTTCTCCATTGTCTTTCACCTTTTCTTTCTTTTTATATTTCTTTCTTTCCTTCCTCCCCCTTTTTCCTTCTTCCCTCCCCCCTTTTCTTTCTCCTTCCCTTTCCCTTCCCTTCCTTTTCCCCTTCTCTTCCCTTCCCTTCCCTCCCTCCCCTCCCCTCCCCTCCTTTCCCTTCCTTCCCCTCCCCTCCCCTCCCCTCCCTTCCTTTTCCTTTTCTTTTTCCTTTCCTTTTTATACCGGTACTGAGGCTTAACCTCAGGACCTCATACTCTTGCTTAGCTTTATACCATTTGAGCCACACTTCCACTTCTGGCTTTTTGATGGTTAGTGGAGATAGAGAGTCTCTCAGACTTGTCTGCCAGGCTGGCTTTGAACCACAGTTCTCAGATTTCAGCCTCCTGATTAGCTAGAAGGCACGAGCCACCAATCCCCAGCAATAGCTTTTGACCATTTCCATGTAAATATAGTTACCCAGAAATTAGTGGAGATTTTACAGCAACAGAAATAGTTCCTAATAAAAATGCCCATTAAATAGAACACATCTTGAATTAAATTAATTGTGTGACTGGTTTTCCAGGCACTTTTTTTCAGTCCTGCGAAGTGGAAGGGAACGACGTTTAGGTACAGATGTCATGTTCCTTGTTTGGGTCTGTCTACTCCTCGGTTATCTCAGAGTGATATGTGCCCTGCCTCAGAGAGAGACATGCACTTTCAAAGACAGGGTATAGAAGACCCAGCACTTCTTGTGCAGGGATATATATACCACTGAAATGTGAGGGAGGAGTGACTCAGTGGTTTATCTCAGTTATCCTACAAAGTTACAGCAGGATTGTGAGCCTGCTCCATACTATGAGGGGAAAAGAGGCAGTTCTAGCTCAAAAGACTAGGAGAAGAGATGTGAGAGGCTGGAGGGTTGGAGAAATACTCCCTTCCGGCAAACTGGACGCATTTATGATGGAGGCAGTTCCTTAATTTCCATTTCCCCAGAAAATGCTGGGCTTGTGTACTAGTGAAAGCTGTACTGTATCAACATTTTCCATTCCCAGTCTAAGGCCTATCAAAATGACTAGGAAGGGAGGCAGCCATCACCATCTTGTATTATAGAGCGATATAGTGATGAGCGATAGAAAGGGTTGCCATGTTTGCTGAGTGATTGTACACTACTTCTTACCTCCAATAAACTACTCAGAAAAAGTCAGAAGTGGTGCTGTGGCTCAAGTGGTAGAACGCTTATTTTAACAAATTTGATTTTAACTTCAAAAATCAATTTGTATATACATATATATATATATATATATATATATATGTATATACATATATGGGGCCTGGGTGCTGGCCCTGAGCTCTTCAACTCAAAGCTCTTTACCACTTCAGCCACAGTGTCACTTCCAGTTTTCTGGTGGTTAATTGGAGATAAGAATCTCACAGACTTTCCTGCCTGGGCTGGCTTTGAACCACAATCTTCCGACCTCATCCTCTTGAGTAGCTAGGATTACAGGTGTGAGCCACCAGCACCTGGCTTCAATTTGAATATATTACATGAGTATTTTACAACTTTCAAATTATTTGCTACACCTTTCCTAGGAGTTAAATACAACAAATCGTAAGACTAGAAAAGTTCTTAAATTCTAATTCTGCCAGGCACAGTTGGTTATGCCTATAATCAATCATGTTCCTCAGCTACAGAGGTTCAAAGCCATCCCAGGCAGGAAAGCCTGGAGATTTGTTTCCAATAGCCACTGAAAAATCAGAAGGCAAGCTGCAATTGAAATGATAGAGCGCCAACCTTGAGCAGAAAAGCCAAGAGATAGCACCCATGTTCTGAGTGCAAGCCCCAGTATATTGGTGCATGCACACGCGCACACGCGCGCGCGCACACACACACACACTAAAAAAAAATATTCTAAGCCAGGTGCTTTAATCCTAGCTACTAGCAACTAGCTTATAATCCTAGCTATTCAGTAGGCTAAGGTCTGAGGGTCATGGTTCAAAGCCAATGAGGGTAGGAAAGTCCATGAGACTCTTATCCCCACAATTAACCACCAGAAAACCCAAAATGGAGAGAGCACTAGCCTAAAGCAAAAGAGCTCAGGGACAATACCCAAGCCCAGAGTGCAAGCCCCATGATCAAAATTTAAAAAAAAAAAGACATTCTAATTCAGTTCCTTTAAATTACAAGAAATAAAATTAGTATATATTTTATAAATCAATCTCTTCATGAAGAGATTTTCATGTGAAAAGTCCTACTTTGTTGACTTCACATTTTTCATCAACGCTGATAAACATTACTTAAAAAATCACTTTTGTTTCTGAATGATCTTTAACATATACAAGTTTTAGATGCATACGAAAACATGAAGAACCTAGTTAAGGAAGTACAGAATATATTACATATACAGAATGAGCTAGTAACATACTCTTACTATACACAAACACGCACAATCATAAAGATTCAGTTAAGTACTTACTAAGTAGTAAGACATTCTTTCAATGCAGAATTTTCTTTTCGGCATTTGACTACCATAAGAATTCCAGTGTCCTTGCAACATTTTGTAAAATCTGAAATTTAAAAAAAGTTGAAAGGGAAAGATAGCTTGTAATTTTATGAACTCAATGTTTAATAGCTCTAAAACATTCACTTAACATGAACTATCTAGAGAGCTCTTCACACACAATGCACGTTCAACAAAAAGCATGCATATTAGTAAAAGCAGAATAAGAACACCATTAACTCTGTAGAAATAAAGAAGACTTGAAAAGGTGGGAGGGCAGGACTGCTGACATAAAAATAAGGAGGTTTCCTGAAGAAAGGCAATGCCAAGGCTGAGCAGCATTCTGGTAGATAGTTTGTATTCTAGGAGAAATAAGAACAATCAAAACTGTTTCTAGACATGAGTATCTAGTGTCCATCTGGGTGCATCTTCTCCACATGAGGCATATAGCCTCTGCCACTTTTTGTTTTTTAGAGAACCATGCAATGGTTTTAGCTAAGGGGATTTTTTTACTTTCTGGCAAGAGGATACCCATTTAGTTCGCAAGTCAAGTTTAGGTACACCCCACAAATTTCAAATGGTTTTCTGTTACTTTCCATTCTAGTAGCTTACCTTTTAAACTACCCTAGCCCCTGTATCTGCCTTTTCAGGACTACAGACAGAGAAAGGTCTGCCTACAGTTTTGTCACCTAGCACTCTGCCTTGTGTTTGGGTTGGATTCAGCGCTACCTTAGCCATTCCACCGACAATGTGCTTCCTCTATACCTTTTGAGGCTATCCTCCTATTCTGGCTATCCTATTCTGGACCCTCCTTTTGACCACTAGCTACTCTGGCTCCAGAGCTGCTCTCTCTAATCTATCAACTAGCTGGCCACTTGCATCTCAGACCTTAAAACACGGTATCAAATAGCCTTCCAAAGAAGCATTAGGAAAAGCAATGTCTCCTCAATGTCTTTAGCTCCTTCCATGAAAAAATAAATAAATAAAAAAAAATCAAGATCCTTTTCTTATGTATTATCCTTCCATTTACTATTAAATTTAAGTTATTTATATAAGTAGCTTAAAATAAGAAGCAACTTCAGAAATCTCCATGAAGATGCAGGTATGCCTATAAAAGAGTACAGAATACCTATGAAATATACCACAAGTAATTTTACACCACATCAAGCAAAACTGATTAAGAAATGTTTTTTTTAAGATATCACAATTTCAAAGCCACTGCAACAATCAGATTCATCTAAAAAATATAAGGACTGAGGGTACGTCTCATTATTAAGCACCAAACCACAGATTCATCCCACATGACCAAAAAACAAAAAAGTTATGAAAACTCATTAGTGTGGCTTTCCCAAGTACAAGTGTCCTATTACACATATATTTGTAGCTTCTGCAGCATCATGGCTTACACCAAATAGAATCAGTAGGATAAGAACAAGGACACCGATTGGTTCCCAGTAACTCTTGTTCACTAGTTGTGAGCACTCCCATCGTTAATTTCTCTCCTTCCCAAATCAGTCTGTTAACCCTGAACCTCATCAGATACCTTCTTTGTTCCAACTACAAATATTTCTGTGCTTTGTGCAGAAAAGTCAAGTTGACTTGACCTGGGCCAAGCAAAACTGAAGGAAATTCTGTGTCTTTTGAGTAAGGTCTCCCTACAACTTAAAACACAAAGCAGACTTAGAGAGCCATCTCTAAACCCATTAATAATTAGTTGTACAAGTTAGTTTTGTACTTACAGCATCATGTTAAGATATTAAAAGTTCATGATCTCATATAAATAATTAGGACATGAGTGATCCTTGAAGATAATGTATATATAAAATTAATCCAGAATTGATTCAACTGGCTAAAGGGGTTTTTTGTTGTTTTTTAACACATTTGCCGAGTTCAGTGGCAACCAGCTGTCTTACTGCTATTACCACCTTATTACCCCTATACCAAACTATTTCACTAAAATATTGTTTACAATATAGAAAAATGGCATTATAAATTTTGCCTAATGAAAATATGATAGCTGACTAATCTACAGTATTTTCTTGAAAATACAAATGCAATAAATAAGTTATCAAAAGTATATTTTATGCATTTACTTAGCTGAGAAGTTCAACAAAGAATGCTTTGGCACTGCATTGCATTTAAGATTAACTTATTAAAACGTCTTATATCAGAAAACTGATGGAAAACAGAAGTTATGTGTTCTGATCACACTAAAGGGCTGGTCTCTATATATTTTCACTTGTCCAAGTCTCTTCAGAAGTAATGACTGTGACTGGCCTAAAGATTTTAATGTGGGACTTTCTTTTATTGTACATTAGCATGTATCTATATAATAGTAATATTGATAATATTACAAATGATTTCTAAAATGATATTCTGAAACAGATCTTTAAATTGCTTCCATTTGGAAGTGGCGCTGTAGCGCAAGTGGTAGAGCGCTCGCCTTGAGCTGAAGAGTTGAGGGATAGCGCCCAGGCCCAGAGTTCAAGCCCCACGACCGACAAAAAAAAAAAAAGTGTAAATTGCTTCCATTTTTCCATTTTATTTTAAAAAATGTATATATCTCCCGGGTGTGCCTGTAATCCTAATTACTTAGAAGGCTGCAATCTGAGAAACCTAGTTATGTATCAGCCCAGGCAGAAAAGTCTCTAACACTTTTATCTTCAATTAACCAGCAAAAAACCGGAAGTAGAAATATGGTTTAAGTGGTAGAGTGCTAGTGCTTGAGCACAAAAGCTCAGGGACAGTGCCCAAGCCCAAAGTTCAAGTCCCATGACTGGCACAATTTTTTAAAATATATATACCTGATTCTATCAATAAATTTAATCATTAAGGATTATGAAAGCAAAATGCCATCAATTAAATATATCAAAGTAATACAAATAAACATCAGTAAACAGTGCCCATGAAGAGATTGTTAAATTACAAACCTTGATAAACGTGTCCTCAAGACTATTCTTTAAAATATCAAGAATATGTAATTCCCACATTTTCATTGTGTATACCTCTCAAGGGAACTACTAACATATAACAAGCCACTGATAAAAATATCCTATGTGACCGAGGCAAGTGGTTCATGCCCAGAATGCTAGCTACTCAGGAGGCTGAGGTTTGAGGATCTCAGTTCAAAGCTACTCTGGGCAGAAATGTCTAAAAAGCTATCTCCAATTAATAATCAAAATGTTGGGCTAGAGCTATGGATCAAGTGCTACAGTACCAACCATGAGACAAAAAGCTCAGCCAGACCATGAGTTCATACCCCAGTACAGCAGGGGAGTGGAGAGGAGAGGAGGCAGGAGTTTGGGAAAGGGAAAGGGGAAGGGGAAGGGGAAAAAGGAAAAAGAGTAAAGGAAGGCAAGGCAAGGCTGGGCACCAGTGGCTCACCCTATACTCCTAGCTACTCAAGAGATCTGAGGATCACATTCAAAGCTAGCCCCCCAAAAAGTCCTTGAGACTTTTGTCTCTAATCATTAAAAAGAAAAGAAAAAAAGATATAAAAGAAACAAGAAAAAAGGAAAGGGGGAAAGCAGCAAGTGGAACTGTGACTCAAGTAGTAGAGAAAAAACTTAGGGACAGCTCCCAGGGCCTGAAAAAAAAAAAAAGAAAGAAAAAAGGAAAAAGAAAAATTCTTCGGCTATACTAAAACTTGCATCAAAAACATATAGAAAAAAATCAACAAACTTCCATCTCAATTTGTAAACAAAATTCATCCTGTAATTAAGTACTAGCAATGTAAATAATTTACAGCTTACCATGTTATAAAAAACCTTTTTAAGATTCCACATAGGTAGCAGTAACACAAATAAGAAACTGTAATCATTTCTTTTTTTAATTCAATTTATGGAACTTTTATAACTCAATATTTAAGTAACTCCAAGTAATCATAAGCATCCTTACTCAGCCAATATATAATTCTGACTGAAACATTTTTCTCTGTACTTAATGAGTTCTGTACAATGTATTGTAAGTACAGTTATCCAGTTAAAACCCAGTCACTGAAAGAAGACAATCTTCAGAGATACCTAGCTAAAAGATATATCCCTATCATTTCATGTATATATCCATATGATTTTTTATGAATTTTTCACAACCACTTTTAGATAGGACACTTTTTATATCTTTCTAGTAGTTTCATTTCCTTTAGCAATCAGAAAATGCCTATTTTTCCACATTGCAAATATATATATATATATAGATAGATGGATAGCAATTCACTTTAGAATTTTAATATACAAGCTATACACAATATTTCCAAGAGTACCATCACCAACTTGGTGGGGTTTTGCCACTTATTGGGTTTAAAACTGGGAACTTAAAATGATAAAGTCAAGCTAATTCATAACATATCAATCTACAAATTAAAATCTTAAGCACAACTGCTATGTTGTATAAATGTGGATAGAAATACACTTTAAACATAATGTATAAAATACCCACCGACCAGTTACAGAACTGTATGAAGTTTTAATAATATATAGACTAGATGAGACCTCTCAGTGTTGGGAGAAAAAAATTATACATACTTACAAGTGTGTGCCTGTGTGTGTCTGTGTATAAAACTGAGTATAACTGTCTAGATGCTAATAATTTCCCTCAAAGATATCTGAAAGTTTAAATTTGTAATGTAAAAATTAAAATCTAAAACTAAAGTTCCTCAAGTAACGCTATCTCTCATGTGAAGACTTCTGTAGCTAGCAGTTGAATGCCAAACCTCTGTGGACATGCCCAAGTGCAGTGCCAACCTCAGTAATCATCAGCCCTCTGGAAGCTGTGAAGGAAAAAGTATCTGAACACAACAGGAGGTCATGCTCAGTTTTGAGCTCACCAGCTTCAAATGTAAGGATAGAGGTCTGAGCCAAATTAGACAGTATTTTGTTCAATTCTTTCTAATAATAGCTCAGCTGGAGAAAACCAATGCCTCAAAGCACATAAAAAACAGGATTTCGTGAGAGTTATGAAAAACATTTTAAACAGACTGTGTCAATAATCCCAGTAGTCTAACTTTTGGAAAAGCCCAATCCAACCTTCAGGCAAAGCCATCTATCATAAGTACCTTCAGATTGGATG